GTTTAAAAGTTTAAGTAATAAAATATAAGGATCTATAATCTATAAGAATTAGAAACTAGTGTAAAAGAAGAATAATTATAAATAGATTTAAATATAGGTATCCTTTTTTTAAAAGATTATTACTAAACTCTAAAGTTTAGTAGTTATAGGCAGGGTTTATATCTTTATAGGTTATATAACTATTTATATAACCTCTTATAAGGAGCCTTCTTATCATTAGGTTCCTCTGCAAAGGTAGCTTTAATATAATACATAATAGACCTTCGCAAACCTTACACTTACCTTAATTTTACAGCCAAGCTTACTAGCAGCCTGGATACTTTTGCACCACACCTCTGTACTAACTGCCTCATTAGATATTACCCTCTGTTCTAGGATACAAAATAATCATACTTGGGACCTAAAATCTTCTATAGTTACTAAAGTGGAGAAATTGGAACCTCTACCCCTACAAAAGGAATGGATGAATGACCTTGCTCAAGCTATTGCTTTTCTAGAATTGCTTAATCTTGCTCATGGTGATCTACAACCCGAAAATATTTTGCTTGATTGTAACTGATTAAAACTTTCAGATTTTGATTGTACAGCAGAAATTAGGACAGATTTTGAAGCTTGCATGGCTCCATATGGAAGATTACTCAACAGTGACGAGCAGGACCAAGGACGACGTGGAAGTTCTGCTTTTCTAGGTCCTCAAACTGAATAATTCGCCCTGGGTTCTTTGTACTACCTCATAAACTACGGTTTTAAGGTTTACGGTGATCAATGTCTGACTGAGGATCCTAAAGAGCATGGACGCAAAGTGGTGGAGTTGCTGCAGAACATGGAATTTCCAAAGTTAGATGGTGAACTGTTAATTGACAAGATTATTAGTAAATGTTGGCATAATAATTATGCCATGATTGCGGAATTGGCTGCATACACAGAGATGCTCCTTCTTAGAAGAAATAACTACAGAGAGAGTAAAGCCGAAAAAACGTCCACACCGCAATGGCGTATGGTTATAGGCCGCGTTTTTCGCGGGCTGTGGAAACATTTCAGATCTTGGTGGGATTTCATGCTCTGTCGCACCAGCCAAATAACCCAGCCTGAAGTAGCTAATAGTGGAAAACTGGATGGCTATAGCCATGGCATCGGTGAAAACGACTTAGCAGAGGATATCTCTTCCAAAAAGATATTCTGTCAGAACCTGGAGAAGCGCGGACTTCTTCATATGCTTTTATTAGGAGAGCTAGAGTAACTTGGATTTACTATTGAGTGGTATAGACATTCCACAGGTTGATAAGAAAGCTTAGCTGCAGGTTGCAATCAAACAGAAGTGCAAAGTGTTCTCCAACAATCAACAAGGTGGTAAAGTATATCACCATGAAGATTAGTAAAGTAAAATGTAGATGTGTGAGCCGTGGATGCTGTGGATATTTGGAAGTGGTGAAGCTACGCAGCGGCTATTACACACACATCATGCCACAGACCTGAAGTAGGAGGAACCACTTTGCACCTTTTGCTTTGTTTGTGTTGTTTGCATCTGATATTTTCTGCACATTCCAGTCGAAATGAAACCGCTATCTAGGAACGCAACTATACGCTACGAGCCACGCCATAGTAGACCTGAATTCGGCTATGGCATACATAGACGGAAGTGGAACGCATGGTGGCATGGTTGCAGCGGCGGTGATGCCACTGAGCATAACGCACTATGCCTTAGCACACTCACAACTACATTAGTTGAACTTCTGAGTCTGAATACACTGGATCTGTAAGCGCATCAGGGGAGGACGTAGTCCTCCTGTGTCAAGCCGCCAGGGCATATCCCTGTGAATATGCACTAGAGGATTTGAAACCAGGGTTGGTGGGGAAGGATCACGAAGCATGATCTTCAAGATGAATGAGCTCTACCGTGTCACCAGTGCAGGTGCGGGTTTAAATTTAAATAGGTAAGATTGGCCTGCCAGGCTATCTTGGCATCTTCCTGTCTTAATAAGCCTCTATAAATCTAGTAGATTCTGGGCGGTATACTCCGAACCTGGCACATAACATTAAAGTAGCCCCTGATACTGATGAATTGGCGCCGCTGTATAATTTATCACACTGGCCAGTACCATTACTATAAGTTTAGGGTCTTGTTCGAAAGCTTGGATTTAGATACTACAACGAATGATCACTGGACCGGTGCCTTCCTACTTCCTTGATTTCCAAATAACGCTCTGATTTCTGTATTTACTATCAGCCGGATGCAAACAATGAATATGCACAGAAAGGAAACATCACCTTCAAGTTCTTGCTCTTTTAGTCAGTCGCTCTGATCGTCTGGGTTCAGAGCAGATACTGTCAGGTGATAACTCGCGTTTCACTGATCTTGTATCTGGGGAGCTACATGGTAGGTCCTTTCCAACAGAATGACTAGCTTCTGATGTTTTCTGAGAAACAGTGCAGCTAGTAATCAAAGGTTAGGTGCGTTGTCAAACTCCCCAGCTTGTGAAATAATGTCTCTGCCAGAAACAGGTGAATGAAGCTTACCATGCTCAGAAGAGAAGGTGAGGAAGCATCTCAGGTCTGCCCCATCTGAGTGAATGCTTAGAACAACTCTTCTAAAGAAATCTTCTTAGTCTTCATACTCCGAGTTTGAGGGCAACCAGGTTTTATAAAGATTAATAGAACCTAGTCTGATAAAGTTGTGCTGTAGATTGGTCCCCTTTAGCCTTTCTAAAATAGCTGATTTAATGATCATAATGCTGTCTGGCCACTTTCTAGGTGTAGGCATATTCATACTGTGATCCTCCTGATGCTTCTTAGGGGAGAAGGTAAGGAGGCATTTTTAGCTTATTCTGTTTAAGGGGATGACTATAACACCTCATCTAAAAAGTATATTATCTTACCTGTAAGCTCCTAGGTTGGAAGATAGACCTGGCCTAAACAAGGCTTTTTAGATAGCTACTTTATTAACCATAAATCCTTCTGGCCACGCAGCCCCCTTTTGGAGCTCTGGAATATACTGTAGTATAATTGCATGGTCACTCCACCTTCTGTACTTGCTTCTTGTTGCTGCTTAGTCCTGTTTAAGCTACTCAGCATCATGTTTTCTGAAAACTTAAATTGTTAATAACTAGATTAGATCTACATGGTTGGGTATCTGACTCATGAGGGGACTGTATCTCATCATAAAATGCTTTAGCATGCAGATAATTAGTGTTCTAATAGTGGTCCACATGATCATAGATCACAGCTAGTTCATTGCTGATGGTAGTAGTTATGGAAGGATGCTAAGCTGAGGCTGTTTTGCCTGAGCAATTAATTCTATCCAAGTTTTCTGCTGGTTCACGCGATAATCTGTGTTTTGTTGATCCCACATCATAGGAGTCACATGACCAGTCTTTCCTAAGGGAAGTATTCATTTGGTCTGTTCTTTCTTGTGCAGTAGCATTACAGGTCATTAAGGAAGCCTTAGGCATACTATAAGCCCCCCTGAGCTCCTTAGTCTCAAAAACTTTACCTTTCTCTGTGTGTTGTTTGCTTTCTAAAATCATTAGTATAACAGCTATAAATAGTTATTAGCTAAGCATACTTATATGGCTATTCATAACATTCTTACTTCTTACAGTCTTAAGACCTAAATAATTCTGCAATATATTAAATAAATCCTTAGTTACTTTTAGTGCTTTGTCATTAAAGTGAAAACAGTCTGGGTTTGATTGCTTAAATAACTAAAGGCCTGCCAGATCCTCACTAACTAGCAATCTGGTTGGCGCACAGACAGATAATAAATTAATGGCTGTAGCTTCATCTACTATGTACAGGGATGGCTGAGTTTCTATTAGTTAAAGTCCCCCAGAACTCCAGTGTAGCCATAATCATAGTGTTAGTATTAGATCTAAGTTAATCTAGCTTATCATGGTACCACCCCTCATGAATATAGATCATAATGGGATTAGAAGCTAAGCCTAACAGAGTAAGATCATCTCTAATCACTATAGGATTAGTATATATACCTAACTTAGGGGCAATGATAGAGTTATATAGGACTACTTCAGGCTATTTACATAGCTAAGTGGGCATTAATGCTTCAGCATATTAAATTAGTGAAATTAATCATACTTGTAGAAGATCTCTTACAGAAGGGCTTATATTCATTCTCTGTAAAAAGGGTCATATTAACTAGGACTAGTAAAAGAACTAAACTTAAATAGGTATTAGATAATATAGAAAAAACTGAGCACTTGAGTGGAGTAGAAGAGTAAAGTTAGATTCTTGACTACTTTTCCACTAAGACAGCATGTAAGGATACATGGCTTTATACCTGTCATCAGATTAATTAGACCTGGTTCAACCTACAACGTGGGCACGCTAGGGTTAGTTTCAAGCTCAGAGAGCAGAAGCTCCAGCAGGGCAGCATCCAGATGAGACCTGTCTGCTAATAGATTCTGCGACTGATGCAACATATAGGGTACTACTGCATGAATGACTTGCCTACTCATCCATTTTCATCCAATAGCCATATCGCATAGTGCTATTGCTATTTCTGGGGAACTATATATCTGTATATCACCTGCGTCCAGTTGTCACTACCTGGTCCATAGAGTGCTACTTGCCAGTCGTTGCGTGCTCTAGGGCCAATTACAAAACATGCAGGACGCTCTACATGATGACGTTAGCTCCCTTATCACCGAAAGGCGCTCGTGCCGCAGGAGTAAACCCCTGTTTTCCCATCCGTCTATCTTATCCTCTCCGCCAATCGACCATGAAGTCAACGGGGTTCCGAAGACAAGGCGTACTCGGTGGCAGGGGCTGAGGCGGGCCCAGCGAACGACGGTAGGAAAAACTGCGTAGGTCGACGGGAATCGATGTTTGTACGCAGGCTGACGAGTTCGCCCGGCGAGCTCTTCAGGGTTGGGAGATCATTCCTGAGTTTCGACATACCCCCAGTGAAGCCATACAATCATTGTGAAAGGACGGTCATCGTCTCATCAACTCTCGCGGACTTGGGAACCACTGGCTCGCGCAAAATGGCGGCCGAGACATTCCACTCGTTCGCGCTGACCAGTTCGATCTAGGTTTTTCCGGGTTCGGGAATGATGCAGACGCCATCAGCCAAGCTGCCAACGCCTTCACCCTCGGCCTGCGCCCCCAAGGCAGATTCGACGCCTTGCTCCACACGGGCGATGCTCCAGAAGGAGCGAGGTACGAATACACCTCGACGCGCGCAGGCTCGACGATCAGCCGACCAATTGTGCGAGATGGCGATCCGGGGGCCAAAAACAACCTCGTCTGAGCATGATGACGGGCGAGCAGAGCGGAAACCGGTCACGGCGAGGGGAAAACACCACAGATCTGCGTTCGAGGACTCGAGAGACGGTCACGGAGTGGCCGGGTCGCACCGGCGACCAAAGGGGTGGCGGAGCTCGGTGATCCGGATCAATGGCAAAAATGCCTCGCTAGCCGGGCCTGCGTGGGAAACGGGGAGAAAGAAAGAGCAGGAAGGGTGAAAAAACCGTGAAACGTTGAAGCGGCGATGGGGGGACTTTATAGAAACACGCACCGAGACGGAAGGTCAGCTGGCCACGCGAAACCCGAACAGGCACGCTAAATCGCATGGCGTAATTCATCGGTGCTGCGGGATACGTGATAACCAACTACACCAACCGGCCTTCTTGTTGAAAAGCAGTTCTTTTTAGATTATATTTTTGGCACAACCAGGCCTCATTCGGGCGCACCACATGTACTCCGTCTTGAATTCTTCAGACCATGCTGGCTCCCTCCTTATAGACTGTGGAGATTGGACAAGACTTATACCATCCTGCAATGCACCAGTAGCACCAATTCTCCTACTCCCACCTGATTGTTCACATCCACATTCGCCGATTCGACACCCGAGGATCACGTGATCACCGCCATGCAATGACCGGTCACGATGGCCGAAGGTACTATGTACTGGGTATAGATATATCCTTCAGGACAGACTTCAAGGATACTCACCCTGCAATGCCCATGGAAGTTGCCTGTTCCGGTCTCTGGATGGACTCCACACAGACAGCATCACAGCTTGATTTGACTTGCTCATCGTGCTGGACATCATGCCGACGTCATCCATCCGGCTCTATTCACCTCTACAATAGCAACAAAGACGTCCGCATAGAAAGGTGTCTATAAATTGACCACCTCCGTCGCAGGGGAGTTGACTTTACTATGTACTGTATGTCAAGTCAAACTGCTTGGACACTTCGTCGGACCGTCCTTGTTAATTCGAAGCACTGCTGTTCCTCCACATCAAGGACCCATCTCCGTCCTACAACTATATTACCCAAAGGAAACAAAAGATATTACTCTCGCAAGATCATAGACCAAAACATGAGAGTCGCAATCACTGGCGCGCGCGGCTCAGTTGGCCGATCTGTGGTGAAGCTCTGCATGGATGCTGGCCACTCCACAGTGCAGATCAACCGAACCGATACCGACTACGACGGCACGCCCAACTCGGAAATGTTTACAGCCGATGTGGCCAACGACTACGATACCACGTTCAAAGCTTTCAAGAATTGCGACGCCATCATCCATCTCGCCTCCATCCCCGACCCGGTGGACAAGCCTGATGACATGGTTCACAACAACAACGTCAATTCGGCGTTCAACTGTTTCCGAGCTGCAGCCGAACTTGGCATCAAGCGGTTCTGCTATGCCTCCTCCGTCAACGCAATTGGACTGGCGTATGCCAACCAACCGCTGAAGTTTGATTACTTCCCGGTCGATGAGGATGCGCCGCAGCGGCCAACAGATGCCTACGCGCTGGCGAAGCGGGAGGCCGAGTTGCAAGCTCAATCGTTCGCAACTTGGTTCCCTGGAATGAAGATTGCCTGCCTGCGTATCCACGAGGTGGCTCCACTCAAGCAGGTGCAGAAGGAGCACCAGGAAGATTGGGAGAATGCGGCAGTCAAACAGTTATGGGGCTGGGTGAACCCTCAAGCAACCGCCAGAGCGTGCCTCCTCGCCGTGGAACGCAGCGATAACTTCGAGGGATGTCAGGTCTTCAATATCGTGGCGCCTACAACCACTCAGCAGACTGCTTCAGAAGAACTGGCCAAGAAGCACTACCCTGACACCGAGATCCGAGGGGATATGTCTAAGAATCAGGGCTTCTTCACGGTCGATAAGGCACAGAAGATTCTCGATTGGACGCACGATGAGAAGGAGTGATTTCCGTGCTTGTATAATAAAATCTTCAAAGGCGACCCAAGTAGATCCATGAGAAATCAAGTCTAGCGATGCGTGAATGTCCATGATATGACACTGGCCGATAGTCGAGTCGGGTCGCATCCGGCGGGCTTGTAGAGATCAACATCACGAACGGTCAGGTGTTGTTCGATTGGGAATCCCGGGGTCGGGTCCAGCGTGATGGGGGTTTTCTGAATACCGTGAAACTGATGTCTTACATCGCTATCGCTGACCCGACGGAGGCCGGAGTCGTATGCGATGCAACTTCCACTGCAGAGCGAAAAGAAACTCGTTTCCCACCGGATGACCCATCCCTCTTAATTGCCCCGGCCGCTCCTAGCGCGGACCCGAGGAGGCGCTGATTCCTCCGCAAATGTTCCAAAACCAACAATGCCGTTCTTGTGCTTGTCCCTCTGACATGTGGAGGCACTCTGGTCGCGAGCCACTTGTTCAAAAAGGGATCATGGAGAAAGTATAGCGATTCGAAGCTTTCGTCTTCACATTTGGTGGAATCATTGGCATTGAGGGTAAGTGATTGATTGCACTGCGAGGTTCATCAATTTGCATCACATTGTATATAGATCAGTTAGCAATGTCTATCTTCCATCAAATCTTCTCCTTTCAGATCAATCGCGTTACAATATCGTCCCGAATCAGTAATACACGCGACCAGACACCCAAACGGCGACTCGGCTAAGAGACCAGACACACTGTAATCCGTAACTCAGGAGCCGTGGATGAGTTGGGAGAATCTCGGCCGACTGTTCATGGGACGGAGTGGTGGCCTGGTTCTGCCTGAAAGATCCATCGGCGATGATGGAATTGTCACTCTAAGGAAGAGAGGCGACTAGGGTTCCAAAGGGTCACCCAGGATATATGTGCTCTGTTATGGTGTCCATTTGAGTAGTAAAAAACCTCCCAGATTTGATGTCTAAACTCGGGGAACAGAACACACCCGGCCGAGTTGCAAGACGGTGATGAAGGTTTCGGCCGATACGGCGACTAGAACTTCTGGCAAGCAAGGCATATCAGGCGGTCCTCCTAGAGACAATTGTGTGAGCAATATGGGATTTGGAGCCAAGTTTAGAGTCTGTATCGGAACTCTTGAACGGTAACAGTAGTGATTGAGGAAGAGGAGAAAGATAAGATGAAGACTTGATGCCTGATGGAGACCGGAGGAGTGACCGAGTGAGCTGTGGGGAGGTCATGTGAGTGTTGATGTGGGGTCGGAAATGGAGTAGATAGACGGAGCAGATGGTATTACGACTAGAAGCTCTTCAGAAGACGAATAGGAACAGTAACTTCAATCGGAGAAATCATCATTCTATGGCTCATAGCTAAGTATCGTACACACACACACACAAATAACCAAACCAAAAAACCTAGATTGTCTAGTCAAATCCCGCGAGCCAGCCCTTGGGTCCACCCCAGGTACCCTTCATCATGGAGTTGAAGTATACCCAGGGGAAGAAGTCCTTCTTCAGATGGTAGAATGCCCGACGAGGAGTCGCCTGGTCAATGCCCAGCACGTTACCAAACGTCTCCTTGGGTACGCCACCGTACTTGAACTCGGCCAGGAGGACCTTGCCGTACTCGGTCAGGAGCGGACACGAGGTGTATCCGTCGTATGTCGCCTTGGGCTCCTTACCCTCCATGGTGCCCACCAGGTTCTTCACCAGAACGGGGGCCTGCGCTGTGATCGCAGCCGCTGTCTTGGACGTGGGCAGGCTGGAAGCATCACCGGCCGCCCACACGTTGGGGTATTTCTTGTGGCGCAAGATGCTGTCCTCGACATCCACGAAACCGGCCTCGTTGGCAATAGGGCTGTTCTTGATGAATGCGTGGGGTCCCATCTTGGGCACGACGTGCAGCAAATCAAACTTCTTCTCCACCTGCTCCTGGTTGTCTAGACGCTTGAAGATAGCTGTTTGGCCGTTGATCTCGACCAGATCGTGCTGGAACAGTCCCTCCACACCTCTCTCTTTGCGGAACTCCTCCAGTTTGGCGTTGTACTTGGGCACGCCGAACATGCCGGGCAACGCGGTGGCGAAGCTAATCTGAATCGGGCCGCTCGACGAGTTGCTGGGGTTGTAAAGACCGGCGCGCTTCCAATGATCAAGAGCGAGCCACATGACTTTTTGGGGGGCGCCTGCGCACTTGACCACACCAGCCGGCTGGGTGAAAAGAGCCACACCTTTCTGAAGCTTCTCGACGGTGGGATAAAGCTTGTCACACCAATCGTAGCCATAAATGGATGAGACGAGCGAGTTGCGGTCTGCGAGGGCCTCTGGCAAGCCCTTGATGCTGTTGAAGTCGACCTTGATACCGGGGACCACCACCAGTTGCTCGTAGTTGACCTTGTCGCCATTGCCGAGAGTCACGGTATTGTTTTCCGGTGAGAATCCACTCACACTGTCGTTGTAGAACTTGAGCTTGGGGTCGATCAGACTATGTATGGGTCGTCGCAAATCATCCTTGTTCTTGAGACCTCCACCGACCAGAGTCCATCCGGGCTGGTAGTGATGCCAAATGGCCGGATCCACCACGGCGATATCATCCTTGGAGAAATTGCCGGTGCGCAAGAGCTGATGACTGACAGTGAGACCCGCGGCGCCACCCCCAACAACCACGACCTTGTGGTTGCGCGCTGTGCCCACTGCGGATGCTGTCGCGAAGCTCCGAGATACTGGGGCTGCAAGTGACCGACCGGCCGCGGCCGAAGCGGCCGACGATACGCGACTGCAAAGCATGAGGGGAATGTGTGTGTATGTGTGTGAGAGAGGAGAGAGAGAGGAGAGAGAGAGGAGAGAGAGCGGAGAGAGAGAGGAGAGAGAGAGGAGAGAGAGAGGAAGAGAGTGGAGGGGTGGAAAGTGGTATGTATGTATGTATGAGTGGAGGGGTGGAAAGTGGTCGGATGCAGGAGGGGATATTAAATATACGAGACGATCCCCGAAATCGCAAGCTTGACCGGGGATTATGAATGGCGTGATAAGGCAATGGGTGGTTACATAAGCCAGCAGCCAGCAGCCAGTCAGGCCACGCAAAAACCAATCGCCGACCGAGGGTTATGTAAGCTACATAAACACCTGGTCATAAATGGCCGTGCATAACACATTTCATCAGTCGGCGATTGACTCGGCACGTGAGTGGATCGGCGAGTGGATTCAGTTCCCCAATGCATCATAGACGCCTCTTCTCTGGGGCAACAGTCCGGAGTATAAACGGGACATGTCACCCTGTTTGGTTTCCCATTCCAATTATTAGAAGAAAATTATTACAGATTGTCAACATGAAGGCTATTAGACCTCAGATTACCAACAACTGGCACTCAACAGCAGGCCTGTTGTGGGCGCCATCTGCTGCAATCCGGGCGCCACTGCGTCCTCTCCACCAGCAAGCGACAAAGAAGGCTGCATATGCGACTCAAAATGCATCTTCGAGATTAGCGCCAGCCTGTACGCGTTGGTTAACGCGGCCACAGGTGAATAGCTTTCAATCAATCTCAGCCAGACACAACCCAACTGCGAGACTTGGCCAAGCTTTGTATAGTACGACGCCCGCACCAGGCCAGCCCACCATTCATGACGTTTTTGAGAGCAAAACCGGCACCTGGCAGTATGTAGTTGCAGACCCTACGACCTCGACTGCAGTGATCATCGACCCGGTCTTAGATTATGACCCTGCCACCCAGACTATCACCACCGCCTCGGCCGATGCCTTGCTCGCTTTGGTGAAAGAGAAAGGCTACAAAGTCGACGGAATTTTCGAAACACATGCTCACGCGGATCATATCACCGCCGCCTCATATCTGCAGAAGCGCTTGACCGAGGAGCAAGGTCACAGACCGCCCATCGGTATCGGCAAGCGCATCGGTCAGGTACAGAAGCTGTTTGGGCAGAGATATGGAGTCCCTGCCGAGGAGTACGAAGGTGTTTTCGACAAGCTCTTTGAAGACGACGAAGCCTTCAACATTGGTCAGTTGGCCGCCAAAGCTATCCATCTACCGGGCCACACTCCGGACCACCTGGGATATCAGATTGGAGGTAAGATTCCTCGATCGTTCGAGTTCAGATCCACTGTACTAATCCAAGTCTAGATAACATCTTCTGCGGTGATTTAATCTTCCATGCAGATATTGGTAGCGCCCGGTGCGACTTCCCTGGTGGCAGTGCAAACAACCTGTATCAGTCAGGTCGCAGGATCCTGCGCCTGCCGGATCATGTCAAAATCTGGACAGGACATGACTATCCCCCGGAGGGACGGCCAGATCCTGTTTCATCCTTGAGCGTCCAAGAGCACAAGCAACAGAACAAGCATCTTAAGGATGGTGTTTCCGAGGAGGAATTTGTGGCCCTGCGCAAGGAGCGTGACTCAAGTCTGGCAGAGCCTAGATTGCTTCACCAGTCCCTGCAGATGAACATTCGCGCAGGACGGCTGCCGAAGCCCACGGAAGCAGGGCAACGGCTTCTTCATCTTCCGCTGAAGCTGAAGGGGTTGACATGGTAGGCTGGGAGATAGGCATTCATTCAGTGTACATATTATACCATGAATTGTAATACATTATTTGATACGTGATTTGGCTCGATCCAGGCGTTTCCTGGTCTTTTGAGCTACAGCATCCTATTCCGATATCATGGAAAGGGTCATGTCCTTGTTGCTATACTTCCATTCTTGTCCTCCAATTGGACGAACAGGCACCACGTGACTCGGGATCAGGTGAAACCGGCTGACTTGCTAGGTTGAGGGTTCGAGTCCGGGCAGTGTCATCTTAGCTTTTCGCTTCCTTCCATTCTTTCTTCCATTTCCTCATTCAGCGACCACGATAGGCGCAGCCAACACTACAACGCATGATAATTTATCCAACTACCCGACAGCTTCTTATCGCACAATATGACTGACGATCCTATCCTGCATTACCTTCCTCCCGGATGGACAGAGGAGACATACCAAAACACCACTGATGCGGACCGCGCCGCACTTTCAGAAGAGGTTTGTAGCAACAGTCCTTCCTGTCCGCTCTCAAACCGACACCACATCACTAGGAACTCCAAAGAATCATGGACCGTCGAGCTGCCGAAGCCAAGCTCGTCAGCGCTCAGAATATGGCTCGTATCAACGCAAAGCGTATCGCACGCGGGGCACCACCAATTCCATGGCCTCCGGCTGAGGAACCAACAGCAGCCGAGGAAGCACAGGAAGCAACAACTCAACCAGCAAACTCATCGTTAGAAAATCTTAGGGCGCTAGTATCCCTGGTCCAGGATCAAGATTGGGACGACTTTGGCTTTCTGGTTTTTCGAACGCACTACGCTAACGAGGAACTCTGGGAGCGCTTCCTGGAACAATACGACGATGTCCTCGACGAAGGACTCGATGCCGCACCAGCTGAGTCTGGGATTGAAGGCATCCGTGACCGCGTCTTTCTCAAGTTCGTCTCAGATGAGACACTTGCAAACGAATCTCCGTCACGTGTGGCGTATGCTTATCGCCTCTGTGCGGAGGAGATGGACGACGACGAGGATGAGGACCGCCTGCAACCTGGTCTGCACACGCGTATGTGCCTCATGGTTGACGACGAATGCATGCGCTCCGTGACAGATAGGAAACCGGATTGTCCCTCATTCATGAAGGCGGTTGACGTCACCCTGGGGGAGCAGAGATTGGGCTATTCGGGCGTCTTTAAAGTGGCCATCTCCTCGCTGATCACTCAATTCTACCCCGCGCTATTAAATTGTCGTGAAACCGTGGATTTAGTGCCAGAGGGAGATGGGGTTTGGGGAGTGTAAGCCGATGCGATCATCAAACCACAACTTGTCTATCTTGTTCTCCATGAATTTATCTGTATTTTGGGTTACTGGTTGATTCAATAAACACGAACAGCTATCTGATGACACATATAGCTACTTGATCACCCATAGCAATAGCCATTGTCTTCCACAGTTTGCTCCTCACTCAGGTTATCCAGGCAGTGATGACAGCCAAGCTGGTCACCTTGTTTGACCTTCCCTTAAGATCTGCGCCAGAGATCAATTTTATACCTCTTGGATGAAGGAAAGATACATACCGGCAATGATCTTGTCTCTCTGCAAGGACTTGTACAGCCCATACGCCTTGCTGCCTCCCGTCCAAAGCGTGATTTCCTTATCAAGTTTGGCCTGGTAGAAGGCCTGCAGATTGTCGTTGAATTCTTCAAAGAATCGCTGGTACCACGTCTTATGCAAGGAAGCAAAGCTGATGCTTCCTCCTGGCCCAGTCACTTTAGGGTTGCTACGGGCAGCACTATCCAGGGCTTTGAAAATCTGCTGTTGAACCCCGTAGGCATGCTTCAACGCAGCTTGGGCCTGTAAAAACTGATTAGTCTCCGGGGTTGGGTGCTGCTTAGAATAATACCTACGTCTGGGGAGTTCATGTACTGTATTCGTTAGTTTGCTGCCCCGTCTTGTCTTATCCATGGGTCTGATACATACAGGAAGTAGAGACTGGTCGATGTTATTGAGATATGCCAGTCGCACAGATGGACCAGCCTTTCCCCATCGGCTCTCACCGATGATATTTGTATGGATAGACCATGCCTGGAGACAGTTAGCTGGCAAGATGCGCATATTGAGGACCTGCTAACCGATGTCTTCAAGGAATTAGTTTGGGCATCGCAGATCAACATGTTCTGATAGTCGGAATTGCTGCCTTTGCTCCCCAATGCGTGATAGATGGCCCTGAAATGTCAGCCTAGTTTGTGCAGCATGTGGCAGATTGAGTATACTCTATTGGGGTGTCTCCGTCGAGGCCAGCTGGGCGTGCAACTCCAAGGTCTTTCCATGTCCAGTGAACATAGCCAGAATCCCCAAAGACTAAGAGAGTCAACAGTATTCGTGATAGACGTGGAGAAACTGACCGTCTTCCCAACTGTATCCACTCGAAATACCGTGTAGAGCGCTTCCATCTGGATATTTATTATCGATCATCGATTGCGCGAATTGAGCCGGCGTCTGCAGCTCGGTGACATGCTCAGAGACGTATTTTCCTGATGGTTGTCAGAGATAACTTGCTTGAATTATGAAGAGATGTACCTACGAGCCAGCTTCCGTGCTTGAAACGCAGCCGCGTTCTTAAGACAGATGGCCGTTGCCTTGGCTGCTCCATTGGCCCAGAACTTTCTTCCTTTGCCCGCCAGCTCAGCCACAGTGTAGTAGGTTGAAGCAAGGAACTTTGTGCGCCGATTTCTGGGCAATTTGACCACGGATGAACGCTGGCGAGCGCGCTCGACCAGATTGGCGTGCTCGAAATGGGACCGGACGGTGCCGGAATATTCCCAGGAAAGACGCACCTCATTCAAGAGTGCCTGGACCTCAGGAAGGTCGGGCTCCAGGGCAAAGAAGCAATCATTCGGCGTGATGCACACCTGGGGGAGTGTTCGGTTGTCCAAATCTGACCGACGGTCCCAACGGCGATCGAGTCTCAAGCTAGCAAGCTCGTCAAGAATGCTCCGGCTGCGTTTCTTGTCATCCGGCGAAGCATCGTTGGGTACCACAAATACATCCTCTTCATACCTAAAAGAGGTTATCGCCTGTGCTGAGAGTGTTGAAAGGTGATTGAAATGGAACATACCACCAGAGCTCCAAGATATCAGCCGGGTTGCCATCGTCGTCGTAGTTGTCGTCTGGATTACTCTGGATACTCAGGACATAGTCCCCATCGGTACTTTCACAGAAATTCAAGTCACTTTCACTGTCGGGCTATAAGGGTCAGTACGGGAAATGAATGTTGGCATCGCAAAGTCTCACAATACTCTCCAAGGGTGCATCGCAACAGTAATAAGCAGACCCACTGTCACAAAAGCTGGTTTTACTGGGGTCTTGCGCGATGATCTGTTTCTCACGAGTCAGTTCACTGTAACTGCAATGTCAAGGAAGCACATGCCTGCTTTCCAGCAGGGCATCCTGTTGGACAAGTAAAAGGATGGAGCCATGGGTGGTCTTTCGACGTCCTGAACCATATCAGCGAGTGTCACGACAGCATGATAAGGGGCATCTTACCATCCGCATCCCGTGAACGGTGGAGGCTTCGTGCAACAGAACGATTTGTACCCAGAAAAGCAGAACGACTCGCCGCCAGCACCTAAAGAATCGTATGTTTCTTCGTAGCGGTCAGATTCATCGCATCCGTAGTGCTCCCCGACACGACCGTGTTTGCCGCAGAAAGGGGCAGCTCCCTCCCATTCTGTGGCAATCAGCCTCTATACTTTAAAATTGGCTCAGAGGAAACTCACTGCACTGCCCGATTCCAGCATCCGACTTGGTTGAGGTACAACACAAGACTTTATGTCCTGTCCAGCACTCGGCACCAGTGCCACTGGTATCGGACGAAACTTGCACCTCTCCCTCATGGCATCTCCCATTACAAAACGGCGCTCCACCACGCCACTGGCAGGTGGGGATCTCCTGATCCTTAGGACAGCAATAATTTCGGGTCTGTCCCTCAGAGCAGCCTGTGTATATTCCCGCATTGCCACGGTTCTTACCATCACTGCGTTGAGCGGGGCGAGAGTTACTTGGACAGTCCTTGCCACACTCACCCCAGATACAAACGGATAGGACATCCTCTTGCTTGGGGTTTGCGCCACCGCCGAACAGACTGCGGGCTACCAGCCCGTTGTTCTTGATATAAGCTTGCGCGGCAGATCCCACCGTGTCGTCGGTGGAGACGGCCCAAACCATTGTACCACCAAGGCACTTGCCATTGGCATAGTCTGCCTTCATTTTGAGAGTTTCTTGATCATCATACGAGACCCATTGATCTTTATCCCAAACTATTTGCTTGACAGCGGCCTTTTTGTCTAGAGTAGGTGTGACTTCGTTCGCCAGGATGTCCTGGATTTCCGAATACATAAGGGTCTGTATTGCTTAGCAACATAACTTGCAAAGATGCGAGAGAACTGAGTAACGACTCACCCCTGCACTGGCTGAGCATTTTCCGGGGTTCCCTCCTCCGCTGAAGCCACAGCCAGGAGTCGTGCAGGATGGGTTCGAGAGAGTAAAGCTCCGCCCATAGAATCCCAGACCCATGACGATTTTGTCCGGATCAATCTGCAAGGGTTAGTTGGGCTTTGCGGATACTAAGAGACTTACCTTGTTTCTCCAGAACAGATCCATAGTCAGATCAATTTCCGTGAGATTGGTATGCGCATTCACGATGGGTCCGATGAATTTGTCGGTGGAGTCCCATGTGCCATGCAAGTCATAGGTCATGACATTGAACCAGTCAATGATCTTTTCGATTGCGACAATATCAAAGTGTTGCATATACCTGCTACATGTCAGTAAGCCATCGGAACCGAGTAGTGCGAAGTCTTACCAATAGCTCGAAGGAACCGTGATAGTCAACCCGTAATTATGGCCACTGCCTCCCAGAGCCGAACGAAGGTTCTTCAGAAATGAAACAAAGTTCTTAAAATCGGCAGGTTTTCCAGATCTTTCAGACGCGACGGGATATTCCCAGTCAATATCGACGCCGTCAAAGCCATACGTCTGGAGGAAAGAGAGCAGCGAGCTGAAAAATGCGGACTGCGCACTGCTGGATCCCGCCAAATCGGAAAAGGTCGTGGCTGTTGGTTGATCTGGATCGTTCATAGACCACCCACCAATTGATATCCATGTCTGGAGGCCGGGATTGGAGTCTTTCAGTGAAGTGAAACGAGGGTAGAGCTCAGTGTCAGCCCCGCTCATGGGGGCCACCTTGAAGGACTTGGGATCGATAAAGGCAAACGCGAAGTTCAGATGGGTGTATGCTCCCACAGGAAGCTGCTCGGGCATCACTGGTGCGTGGCATGAGAGCATACCCTTAATTGGGATCATCCTCAAAACTTACTTCCATAACAGGCTCGAGTGATGGACCATCCTTCGTAGTACCCTGAGTTGCTTAGCGGACATCATTATAGAACAGACTTGTTCATACCAATTGACCGCTTGTTGGAGCTGAAGATTGTCAGTAAAGGAAAGCCTAAGAGAACTTCAATGCTCACCTGGTACCTGAACACGATGGCTTCTGAACGGTCTTGTTGCCACAGAAGTCTTCGGTCGTCCCGCAGAAGCCAAACTTGCTGCAACAGACATTCAGTGGACATTTTTCATTCTGCGACCATTCTGCACCCCATCCTGGATCGCATTCACTGGGGAGACAAGTGAGCCTAGTGTATGTTTCTATTTACATGCATCAAGGGCATACCTTTTCTGATCGCACGAGGAGATGCAATTCTTTCCACAGAAATCCGGACCCAATCCGCAGACACCGGTGTTGCTGCAACATCCGATCTTGCAGGGCTTAGTCGGAGAGCTGATCAGATTAGTCCTATTCTCTAGCAGTAATAACGCCAGACTTTACCATGTATAGTCTGCTGCTGAAGCTGGATCTTGGGCTCCCAGGGCCCAGACCAGCGGAGTGATAATGGCCGAAATAAAGATCACTCTCATCCTGTGAATGACCATGAGGAATAATCATTGAACAGTTACTCTTCGGTCGAGGATAGTAGCGAGCTTTTCACTACAAGCTCTTCAATGCGTGAGCCTGACTCTTCAACCTCCAGGAAAACAAGAATTGCATCATGCATACCCCTCCCCGGGTAAGAGTAGATCGTCGGAGGGGAAGTATAAGCCTGCATTTTATGATTGGCCTCCCCACCTTCATTCGAGGTAGACGGAGGAAGACGGACGAGGCTGAACACTTGCGATGTAACCCACCTTAGTGCTAGGGCTTATGTGCGCTTATGCGTAGCTTGTTTTGACCAACTGAGGAATCATTCTATAAGCCGTTGTTGGGTTGATCCCTGTCGATCACGGATCAGCCGACGAGATGATGTTGCCATGAAGCAATGTTTGGCAGGGATTGATGGAACCCAAGACGAGAATACCATTCCCCGCAGAAGAGGTCTTCTGATACTGAACATAAGATTGAAGAAAGATATCAGAAGGGACGGGGGTTGTATCCAATTCAGCTTTCCTGCCCATCCAACCAGCACTGGTAGATAGAAAGATGCCGGCCATGCTTAAACAACAATCACGCAGTCTACTGCTCCTGATCTTTGTCTTCACTTTTGTCAAATCGGACATCATTATATTTGAGCCAGGCCTTATTGTCAATAGCAGCAATGCAGCGGCCGCAGGAGAGCTCTCGGCAGCATGCGTCACGGCCATGGAGAGCACTATCCAGTGTGATCCCTATTTACGAGCACAGGTTATGGCTGATAGCTTCAACTATATGCCTCCCTCAGTGCGCAGTGCGATGTGCACTTCTACCTGTGCCCAATCCTTGTCAAAATATCATTCCTCGGTGAAAAGTGCATGTGCCGACAGTCCTCAGCCCTGGGACGATACCCCAGCAACCCTGTATGGAGATCAAATCTGGGCGCAATACAACATCTCCTGCTTTAAGGATATGAAAGGACAGTTCTGTCAAGGTAGGATACGTCGTTTATAAAAGGAATTCTGGCTGAATCTGTTCTAGATGTTCTGGCCAACCTTACACTTGCCGACAACGACGAGTCCATGTTAAGTCTTTCTAAGAACGTCATCTGTTCCGAGTGTGTGTTGCTTCTGGGTCAATTGATCCAAGCCACTCCTTTCAGTAACTACGGTCCTCGTATTGCCAAAGAATGGGCCGCCATTCAGTCAAGCTGTGGCGTCTCCCATCCCACCGCGGTTCAGCCCATAGTTGCCAATTGGACCAGCATCCCGGGGTATGCCCCTCCAGGATATCAGTCGGCTCAATGTATGACGGGGAAGACATATATTGTTGTCTCCGGAGATGACTGCGGCAAGATTGCAGCGAACCAGGGAGTTCCGCGGGGCTCGCTGATGGCCATCAACAATGTCCTTCCTGATTGTTCAGATCTTCAAGGTAGGATCACGTCCCAAAGATAATGCATCATGGCTAATATATCTGTAGTCGGACAGAAGCTCTGCGTCCCAGATATATGTCAACTCTACACAGTCCAGCCCGGGGATACTTGCATGAAAATCACCAATGCCTCCAATATCTCATTGACACAGCTCCGTGCTTGGAATTCGTTCATCAACCCCGGATGCAGCAACCTCATAGCCGGAGATTCTCTTTGTGTCAGTCAGCCAGGAGATATCTGGACTGGTACCCCCATTCCAGATGCCACAGTCACCAAAACTGGTGTATATGCGACGACAACAGTTGCTGCTCCGGGTGCTGTGGCATATGGGACGACTTCAAAGTGCGGCAAGTATGTTTCCTTCTTACCATAGGCCTGACCGTATGCTCTAACGAGTCGGCAGATACTATCAAGTCCACGAGGGAGACTACTGCCAGCTGATCGCGCTCAACTTCACCATCACGGTGCCTCTCTTTGAGGCAATCAACCCATCTATCGACACAGGATGCTCTAATCTCATTCCTGGGCTTTACTACTGTGTGTTGCCTACAGCAAACTGGAATGAGACAGCCAGCACAACAACGTCGAGCTATCAGACAGCTCCAGCCCCGACGCCAAGCGGAACAACTCCAAATTGCTATGAGGTAGGATGTACGTCACCGAATCATCAATTATTACTGACGGCCGTAGTGGTATGTTGTGCAATCAGGAGATTATTGCGCCAAGATTGAGTCGATATACGGCATCACGATGGTGCAATTACAGCTGTGGAATCCTGAGCTCAAGGATGACTGCAGTAATCTCCGGCTCGACGATGCGTATTGCGTCCATGGGGACCCTGCTGCCAGCTCTGTACGCCGTGCAAGGCTGCCTGCTGAAGTTCGAGTATTACCCACGGCAAACGGACTATGAACGGGAAACTCTGCTGGGAGTATCTGACTGTCATGTGGAGGCTCGGGGCTGAAGGCTTTCGGATGAAGAGTGTCTTCCAGATAGAGTGCTAGCGGAGAGTCCACAAGCTCGTGATCTATTTATCATTTTAAATCTGCCGTGATATGCGTATTCGTCCCATGTAATCATATGTGACTGGTCATAATCCAGATATAGAGTAAACCATCATGTAATCCTAAGATAAAGCAGACAATCAAGTATTCTACAAGAATCTTTTATGATGATATAAACGAAATGGAAGGTATATTACAATTGTACAAAACAGCTCATCCAGACAACAAAGAGCGTTCCGAATCTTGAGCTGAAGGGTCACTTGGAGTTCGAATGATCTCCATCAATTGCTCCCTCTCTGCATCTTGCTCAACCATTCCTCTGAATATTCCTTCCGGAATGCTCAGTAGCTCGCTTGGACGCCCAAATTCTACCGCGGTACCCTGATCGAGCACCAGAATTCGGTCAAAGTCCACAATCGTGCTCAGACGGTGTGCAATCACGAGCAAGGTAGTGTCAGGTCCAAATCTTGCTCGCAACGCCTGCTGAATTTGAACATCAGTGGCTTGATCAACCGCCGAGGTGGCTTCATCCAGAATGAGAACTCGTGGATTTGACACCATGGCTCGTGCGAGACAGATCAGTTGCCGCTGTCCTTGCGAAAGATTCAGACCCCCTTCGGAGACGGGAGCGTCCAATTCGGGTGCTAGTGGCCCTGCATCCATTGCGGTGCCGTGAACCAGTGCCAGTACACCAATGAGATTGACATCATCGTGCTCTTGAAACGGGTCTAGATTTGAACGAATGGTTCCCGACAATAGCACAGGATTCTGCGGAATCATCGCCAGTCGACTGCGTAGATGTTCAAGCCTCACTTGAGAAATGTCAATACCGTCAATTACGATTCGGCCCTCACAGGCTTCCAAAAATCGAAACAGGGCTAAGGCAAAGGATGATTTGCCAGCTCCGGTTCGGCCGATGATACCAACCCGCTGGCCCCCTTGGACGGTAAAGTTGAGGTGTGAGAGTACCGGGGCTAAGTCTGGGGCATAGCGGACAGTAAGGTCGTTGACTTCTAACCTGCCGTATGTTGGCCATGCAGCAGGAGGATCTGTCCCTTGTTGAGATTCCGGCTCGATATTGGTGTACTCCATTACTCGATCAACGGCATTCATAGCTAGTTCCAGACTGGTATAGAGCCGAATACAATGCGTCAGGGCTGTGCTCAGTTGAATTGTAAAGCTGATAGCAAACCCGGCTGTGGCTGCATCAATAGTCGGTTGGGTTGTCACGAGGGCCGCGACGCACGCTGCAAATACCGCTCCAAGAATGTTCATTCGGATGCCCAGCCATCGGGTCAAGAGCCACTGATGCCAAAATGCTCGAGCATGTCGGTCGATAAGCCACTGCATATGGGCCACGTAGAAATCAGATCGACCAAAGCCGCGTATGGTCGATAGTCCGCTCAAGGAGGAGTTGAATTGCTCGTATATTGGACTGCGGCTAATATTCTCAATGCGTTTCACTTCACGGGCCGCAGTGAGATATCGTCGAGCGTAGAAGAGACAGGACATCGCTAGTGGAATGGTCGGCACAATCAGCCATGGATTACCCAGCAGACCTGCTAAGACGATAGTAAGACATTCGGTGCCCATCTGTAGCATGTAAGTCAACTCAAAACACAACCGTGAGTCAAGGACGTTGAAATCGGCTGTGAACCGATTGAGAACCTGCCCCAAGGGCACTGTATCGAGCCACAGCAAAGGAGCCTGCAGGACGGCCATCAAGCAATTCCGGAAGAGAGTGTCGGAGGCCTTCAGAGTGGCCATGAATACAAGGCAGGTACGCAGCGAGCCGACGATCCACTCGCACGCGGCAATAGCAATATACAAGGACAAATAGAAGCTAAGGCTACCTTCAGCTCCGCTGCCTGCCCCGGAAGTTGTCGTGTCTTGTTGGCTCCAAACACGCAGCCACCAGTTCTATGTCAAGATCAGTCTGAGAGCTTCCCTTTTCAGAGTTGAGGACTACTTACTCGACTCAGAGAGAGCAAGGTGTACGCTAAATATCCAAGAACTAGGAGGAGCCATCGACGTCGACTGCCACTGACATTGACATACTGGAGAAACAGCCGCGGAACGGAGGTCTTCGTCCGACCAATTTCCTTCTGCACAAAGCGTCGTGTATTGTGCACCTTGATCCCATCCTGCGTCTTGGAGGGGCAGGATGCTTGGAGTAAATTTGGCTGAACCATGTCTTCTGGTAAAGCAGACGTCGCAGTCTCAAGAGTTTCAATGTTCGGTTGGGAGCAGAGAAAACTATCGAGTAACCCAGTATTCTCTAACTCGAAGCGATCCCCCGCAAAGGCAACATTCCCATTCTGTAGATGCACCAGATATTCTGTCTGTGACAAACACATACCGATCTGATGAGTGGCAAGAATCCTTGTGCGTCCTTCGGCTAGCTGTCCTGTCAGGGCATGATCGTACAAATGACGCGCAGTGTGCACATCGACGGCGCTGAAGATATCATCGAGAATGAGGATGCCTGCACGAGAGTACAAGGCGCGTGCCAGGGCAATTCGAGCCTTTTGGCCGCCGCTCAGGTTCACGCCACTGGGGCCAACTTCGGTATTTTCGCCGTCTGGCAATAAATCCAAATCTTTGGTCAGAGCACAGGCAAAGATAACACGGTCGTATCGATTTCTGTCAAAAGAAAGCCCAAAAAGAATGTTGTCCTTGATTGTGGCCGCTTCAATCCAGGGTAGTTGGGCCACATACGCCACGGCTGAAGGGATGAGCCACTGCGCACCTATGGCAGACGGGGACCAGAGCTCCTCATAGCTTGGAGCTACTGGTGCCTTGATTTTTCCTGAATGAAGCCGACATTCGCCGAGGATGCTGGCCAGAAGGAGACTTTTCCCGGCTCCTGTTCGTCCCATAACCAGGCTTATCTTGCCTGGCGGGAATTGCAGATCCCCGGCCTCCAAGGTCCAAGGAGAATGATTCTGGGAAGGTTCCTTCGGCCAGCTAATACAGGCATTCTCAAAACGAATCCGGTCCGATGGGGTCAGGATGGGCATTTTCTCAGAGGCGGCAAAAAAATCATCCAGGCGACGCATGCTGACGAGAGCATCGAGCAGATCCGACAGCAATTCTGGCAACAAACCCAAGGACCCGGCCATGGAAGTGAGGATCGAGATGGCTGTAAAGGCTACTGATGCTGTTAGACGTCGATGCACAATGGTGTACGTCCCCAAGGACCCAATGGACAGTAGAATTGGACCGAGCAGATATAGCGACATGGTGCTTGCGTTGGCCAGGAAGACTCGTCGCTGGGCTCGCAGCTCCCCATCTCGTGCGCTTTGGACTCTCTTCATCCACTTTCTCTCCCAGGCCGAGAATTTGAGTTGGCGGATAACACGCAAGATTTCTGTCAAGATGGTCATCTTCCGATCTCGCGAGCTCATGAGCTCGTGGGCTGCTGCGGCATACCATCGTCCGCAGAGAGTGATCATAGGCAGCAGAATAAGTAAACTGGAAAGGCCAACCAGAAGACTTTGCCAGCCCAGCAATCCTAAAAGCATCATTGAAGCAATAGACATTTTCAATGGCGACAGGAGCAGATGGAATGAAAATGTCGCAAACTCTGCGATGCGTTGGCCATCAACGGCGACAAGATTGATCGTGTTTTGCGTCCTGTTACTCCCTGCTTCATTCTCCTCTCCAAGATTATTAGGCTCCACAGTGTTTGAGCCCATCAATCGCATTGCCTTGTCGAACACAGCAATGGAAATCTGCTCGTTGACGCGCACTGAGACTTTATTCCAAGCAATCCAGTACAGCCAACTTTCAATGCTCGAGGACAGGACAATCGATAAACTCAGTGCAGCCACCCAAAACCACATTTGGATCGAAGGTGTCAATTCATCCGAGCGCCTTTCTAGACGACGAAGGATCTGCAACAGCGAAAGATGAGGCGTGAAGGATATAAGGGTCTGGAAGATACACAGCAGCAACTGTGAGATCACATTCGAGCGATGGGACAGTAGTAAAGTCCTCCAGAGGGGAGCAGAGTCTGTTGCAACGGCGTGACGTGCCTGATTGAAAGATTCCTGCAGTCTGTGGGCGCGCGTCTCGTAGTCCAGCTCGGGCAGCTCATCTACTTCGATCTCCTGGCCTTTGGTGAGGTCGAGCACGCGGTCCGCCCAGCTAAAGGTGATACGGCCGAGGAATGAAGTCGAAAGTTCCCTATCCACTTCGACACCATTACGGCGGACATCTGGACGACGGGGGAGAAGCAAGCTGAGCAGAATTGCTACAGCCTGACATGCGCACTCAGCACCAATCAGACTTGACTGGACTACATTCGTCGGTACGCCAAATGAATTTATCGCAAGTGATACCGTGGCGAGGGCACATGAACAGGCCAATTGCAAACCGAGTGAGAAGCGTTTTATACAGCTAGACTCGACCAGCAATCCAATGCTTTGAATCAGGAGCAGACCCTGTCGCGTGGATTAGCAATATATTCCCCCCTGCTGCTCTTCCGCACCCACCGAGACTACAGAATGTAGACAGTCATCCTTCCGTACGATGAGAATCGCACGCGAGATAGCCATTGCACAAGAGAAGGATATCAAGACCGCAATGACAAGACGATGAGTCCATCGAGTGACCGACTGGACAGCCTTCCCTTCTGCCTGTCCATCGCGGTCTTCATAGAAGAAATTGGCAAATTGATCTCTCGGCCGTGCCAGCAAGTGAAGCCAGGAAACAAGACTTCGGACGGCAGCAATGCTTAAAAGAGCCGTCAAAGTCAAGACCAGACCCTGGATGACTTGCATTTGGAAGACCAGCATGGTGATATCGGGCATGCAAGTGATTTCTTCGGGGCTACATTGGCGAGAAAATCAGTTTCTGCGGGATCTTGGGCGAATGTTGTTGTCAATCAGAAAGTACTGGCAGTGCAGAGCCTTGATAGAAGAACGATTTCATGGAGAATTTCATGGGATATTCTGAAAGTTCCTGCCAGCTCACAGCACAAGCCGATCTCTGGCTGACCACCAGGATATCCAGCTCATGAACTGCATGATTAGCTACTTGTCTCATGTCTCACAGCTTCGATCTTCGATCAAAATGTGGCGCAGATCCTTCAATCCAGCTGAAGATGCTGACCTCTGCAATCCATGCGTCTGTTACGTAAACTACAGACTACAATGAAATCGGCCTGCAGACAAGTGGAGTTTTCTAATAGAATAGGAGTATCTCTAAGCTGATCAAAGGATTTTATGCATGGATCATCGATCGAATTGAAGATTGAGTGTAACCCGAAATCTCGTCCATCTCGGCTCTCTTGGATATTTACCCAGTAGGATCCTAAATATGGCACAATACTAATGCATCGTGGCTGGCTGAAAGTCAAATAGTCGCGCCGATCTCACGCACAACCCCCACATAGATCAATCGTCAGAATGAAGAAGGAAAAACGCGGAAAATAAGGAAAAGGAGGTTCACTACAATACAGCAACATTTTGTGCCAAAAAAGGCTTTGCATCCCAACGGACTCTTCGGAGATGCCGCTGGGGGTCTTTAACCTCATTTCGCGCATGCAGCCACCGGCCATTGTCCATGAGGATGATTGAGCCTTGGGGCAGATCATGAGCGGTAAGATTTACCACCTGTGCCTGAGCTGAGGGATCAAGTAGTACACTCTTCAATTCCATCAGAGCACCTTCCGCTGCTGGGTGCAGAGGGGAGATGATGTCTTCTCGAAACCGTAGACGCGGGCCACTGCGATGAATCGCCAGGAGGCTTCCCCGGATGGATCTCTCTCCTTCATCCTTGGTGAATTCCGGGGGAACGGTAATGCGAAAACTTGGGCTGGAAAGCCATTTCCTGGCGCCCGGAGAAAGGAGACTCAGCAGTCGGTCGGCATTCAAGACGGAAAGTGTGCCGCCTCCACAACGGTCTGGCTGGAGGACCTGTAGGGCAAAATATCGCGGGGGGCAGCGCTCATAGCTGCAGTCTGTGTGCCAGGGAAATTCCTCCATCGTCTCTGACCGGGCCTGACAGTGGTGGCTCTGGAAACTGTCGGGGCTGGGCCGAATATCCCACATCCACCCTCGCTGTGCGCTATGGGTAATCGGGAGACCATGTCCGTGGTGCTTATGTAGTTTTTGGAGAAGATTTTGCAGGTAGGCGCTTTCGTTATCCGAGAAGCTAAGTTGCAAGCGAACGAGGCCAGTGTTGCGAAGAAGGTGATGGACTTGACCAAAATGATTCGGATCCGAGGCTGCCCGGAGATTCGAGACTGATACGGACGGAATCGCGGTGGAAAAGCAGCGAGGTTCTGGCTGGTTGGTTCAACGGAAGAATCAAGGAAAGAACTCAGAAAACTTACGGAGGAAGGATCGAGGGTGAGCAATGAAACGAATCGCAGAGGAGCCAGGCCGAGATAGCAAGTGATGCATCTTGAAGCAGACAGTACGCAAAGGAACGGGAGGTAATTCTCAGCAAGGAAAGAAAGCTTCGTGGCACGCATATCTCAATATATCGTTCACTCTGAGATGATCTAGCTGGAAGGCCATGTACCAAATCGCCAAGGACATATAGCGTACGGAGTACAAGCCATTCAGCTGGTAGGCCCAAGGCTAGCTGGGCAGTCATTTGTGGATCTGTGCATGAATGGGCTAGAGAAAATAATTGGACGAATTGATGGGAGGACTGCATGGGTTTCAGACTACAGAGTGAGTAGGTGGCTCCGTGGCTGTGACTAAACCTGCAGCTTTAAATAGTTCGATCGATAATCCACTGACCGACTGATCGACTCTGCACAATTCATGACATGTACTATGGAGCTGATGCATAGAGACTTGTTTTGAGTGGGACGCTTGACTTAACTGAAAAATAAGCATATGAAACATCAAAATGTCGACGAACTCTTTCTAACTGAACACATCCAGGCTCCTCCCCGGCTCAAAGCACAAATCCGACCTGGCCCACTGCGCCAGAGCCCTAATCCAAGCAAAGTCCCATGTACGACATGAAAGGTGCCAATCAGGGGATACTTCTGGACGCCATCTTCTTCACGCAAAAGTACCTCATAGGTCTTTTGTTCAATCCTGTTTTGGACAACGTACGTCGGACCATTCCTATCCAGTTCGGGCTCCTGCATGCGATTTAGAAGGGAGGTCCAGTCAGCCGATGCGACTTCATCTCCAAAAAGAATACCCGCCCCTTTTCCACTGCGAATCGGTTTGAGAAGATATTGGTCCTTGAGGCTATCGTCTTGATTGCACTTCTCGATGAATTGATTCAAGCTCCTTGAGCCTGGAATTAGCGTAGGAACCAGTCCACGATCCAGGCTAGTTGCCTGTGCAGGGGTGAGCACATTGCGTGCAACCAGCGAGTCCAATTCTTCGCGTACAAGGCCTAGCATTCTTTTGTCATGAACCAAAAGAATAGTGCGCATGTCATTAAAGCAGCGTAGACTAACTTGCTGCAGCATCTCGAAGCTCATGGCAAGGAGCTCCCGCTGGTGCAGTTCTAGTCCCAACTGATGGACCTGTTCAAGCGTTTCCCCAGCCTCGTTGACGACGGTCAATTCTGGTGTATCGGACCCCGCCAAACAATACAGCTTGAATCCACCAGGGGCTTCTGGGCAAGGAACTAATCGTAGGTCGCTGGGATGGATGATTCGAGGACAAAACCCCAGAATTCGCTTGGCGAATGAGGTGAATAGATGGATATCATATCCGCGCTCTTCGCCTTTGACAAGATGCAGAGGGAGGCTGGCATTGTAGAGGCGACTGAGACCTTCGAGAATCTGTTTTATGTTAGTATTTGATCGTGTTCATGCATCTTAAATCACAACACCTTTTGTGATTCCGCCGCCCCTTCAAGTCCGTAACTATCAATGCCCATTTCGTCAAGTGCTCGCTGTCCGTATGCGGTCATGAGAAACCCGTTCCAACAAAACCGGCCATTGATCTCACAGATTCGGTAGTTTTCCATATCCTTGGGAGTTTCTGGCGATTGCTCCAGCAAAAAATCAGGTCTCCAAGATCCGGAGCATGTGCGAAACGGCCGTACGATATCCGGATCCTGATTTTGCAACCACTGCCTTTCGATTAGTACGTACAGTATGTAGGGATATTCTTAGAGCTAGTACACGCAGTAATTCCTCCTCTGCCGGCTCAATCGGCATGCGCTGAGGGAACCCAACCGCAGTATCTGTCCACCATCTCTCCACAATGTCGGTGATGGCCAGAAACAATGCATCGTTGAGCTCCTTCAAGCGCTGGAGATGTACCTCGGTGACGAGAATTGGATACGGGACACTTCTCAGGTGCGCATCCCCAGCCCAACTATGCGCAGGACTGCAATCGAGGAGCTTGGTGTGGTAAGCAGTGATGAGAGATTCTCGAATAGAGCAGTCAACCTCGCTAGGACTCTGATACTCATGGTCGGCCTGAGTAAGAAAAATAGCTCGCAGGTGCGAAGAGGGTTTCCTCATTGTGACTCTGGCGAGAGAGTGGAAGGTATCAAAGATTGCTGAACAGTATGAAGTGATTCGAAGGAACAGGACACACACATGCACTGCAGAATGACCAGTTGCTCCAACATCGGCGGCGAAAGACCAAATTCAAATAAATAGAACCCTTGTTTTTTTTCTCCTTCTGAATTTTGGGTCTTTCAATCTCTGTATTTCCATTTTCTTCTCCACTCATGGATCTATCGATTCCAGCTGAACTGGGTGGATCTCGATCTCTTCAGCCAGCCCAACAGCCAAGAAATTTGAACCACAACCTGCAGTTTCAAGCGAGGCAGGGATCTGCTGGCCCATCCATTGATTGATTGTTACAGATTCCGTCGACACGAACCGAAATAGATATCTAGTTGCCGGGTGCCCAGAGCTCCCGTCCACATCACAGCTGAACACCACGGTCAACATGGTTGCTGATTATTATCCCCTCGGTGATGTCTTGGCTGTTGCCAGCATCCATCCGTTCTACTCGAATGCCCAATATCCACCCACTCGCGAGGAACTGCCTGGTCTGCTTGAACATATCAAATCCTCCACGAAACCCATTCAATTGGAATCGTTTCCCCTTCTTGATAAGAAAGATTTGTACGTGCAACTACCGACTACGACGGTGGTCTCCTGACTCGTATAGATACAAACATATCGGACGACTCACAGTGGATGAGGATTCGCGCAATGGATATCGACGAGGCACGTACATCAGCGTCACGGGTGGTGGCTCCGGTAGTGGGCCGGCTATGGCCTTTGCGACGGATTCGAGCGAAACTCGCCGCCAGCGAGCAGTATTCGGATGCTTTCTGCATCGATGTGGCATCCTCGGACCGGGTGACTGGGTGTTGACTATGCATGTCTCCGGAAAGTTATACCGGGCGCTTGATCTCATGACGGAGTTGTTTGAAAGCGCTGGAGCTACTGTTCTTTGTGCATCGGACAACATGCAGCTTGAGCATATCGTGACTGCTCTGGCGCAGTACCGAGTTAATACCATCTCTGGGGATGCGGGGCAATTGGTGCAGCTTGCTCGCTTTATAAGCTCCCTTCCCGAAGAGACAAGGAGTGATCTGAGAGTCACCAAAGCTGTCTACACGTCAGAGGCTATGACCCCGGCTCAGCGGACTTTCATGAAATCGGTCTTTCCAGATCTCGCTATCAGCTCGGTCATTGGCAGCGCTGAAGCCGGACCATGGGGGGCCTCGACAGCAGAGATGACCGAGAGCGCAATGGATAAGAACTATGCAGACTTTCTTTTTGATGATCGTCTCATGCATTTGGAAGTGTTCTCTTTCGATGTCGGTGAGCTAGACCGACACGATGATGAGCAATCAGCGGCACCTGTTCCGAACGGCGAGAAAGGACTGCTAGTACAAACATCACTGCAACGCCTGCGAAATCCTCTGGTACGCTATGTATGTGGCGACGTGGCCTCCTTCCATCCTCTACCAGACTCAATCAAGAAATCTCTTACACCCGAAGACGCTGAGCATTACCGCGTCGTGCGCATCTATGGCCGTGATCGACGTTTGAGCTTTGATTGGTATGGAGAGTATTTTGAATTCACACAGGTTCAGGCTCTCCTGCGGACGGAGTCCTGGGGAGTGCTACAATACCAGATCATTCGGCGGCACCGAGACGACGATGCCGAGCAGGTGGAAACAGTTTTGGAGGTTCGTCTCCTAAGGGATGTCCAGAACAGCCAAACCAGCGAAGAGGAGATCAGAGACAAGGTGGAGAGGTTCTTTGTGGTTTTGGACTGCAATAGGGAGCTTTTCGAGCTCAAATTTGTGACTGCCTACAGTGAATTCATACGGAGTACAACTGGAAGAAAGGTCATCAACTATGTGAATCAGACCAGGGGAAAAGTTTGATTAGACATGTGGCAAAATATACCTCTCTAACGAGAATAAAATCAAGTACTTTCTATTTGCAAGGAATCTCTGATACTGACTGCCGGGGCTGGATACCAACAGTCTCTCTCACGCTTTCTCTTCTTTCCTTCTTAAGAGGGATGAAAGAGACACTGAGGCATGATGTCAAGAATCCGCCTAGAAGAGAGCCCCCTTCATCTGCTCGGCATCCTGAATGCGAATATTCATTATTAAAAATATCCACCCAATGTTCAATGTCATGATGGCCGTGCCTGCAATGAGCATGTTACGCTGACTCAGAGCATACGCCGTGGTAATGGCCGTTCGCGTGGCAGACCCGACAGGATAGCTCAGCTGCACCTCCAGCGAGCCGTAGTGGTCTCCCAGTCAGGCAACGCTTCCTCTGGCAACAGCTCCCGTAGTTTCGCCGGGAGGCTGTTCGTCCAGATGGCGCCGGAGATACTGTTGCCCACCGCTCCACTTAGATTGCCAAACAGGCTCAGTAGGGCGAGCATAGCAGCATAGCCATCATGCTTGGAGGCGGCCATGACAGCAACCTGCATGACCAGGATGATCGTACCGTCGCCGAGGGCCATGAAGACCTCACACATGATGATGTAGCCAATGTTGTTTCCAGGGCTGCGGAAATGGATCATCAGGCCAACCGCCAACATGTATAGAGGCACAGCGCACAGAAGCAACCACTTGAAGTGGCCGGTGGTACGGATGAGGAATCCTGCACGAATCAGCCATAGTGGGCTGATGAAGTCAAAGATGGAGTTGATATAGCCGGCCTTCGTGATGCTAACATCAAAGACAACTTGCAAGTACGATGTAAAGTAGCTGGCCCAGCAGTAATAGGCAACCTGATAGGTAAAGTCCAGAAGACAAGCGCCGATCACCGTCCGAGAAGTGAGTAGACGGTACTGGATAAAGGGCTTCGGAGAGACGAATCACTCATACGCAACAAAGCCAATGATGACCACGCCACCAACCACAATCATGCTGATAGTCTTAGCCGAGCGCCACTGATCCGGGGTCGATCGAGCCAGCACAAAGGACAGAAGAAACAATGAGAAACCGGCAATCAGAAAAAGGATTCCAATAACTGTTTCGATCATCAGCAAGAGCCGCAACGCAATACTCAATAAGAAGGGGAAGCTCACCGTCAAATTCAATGAAGTAAAGCTTGAGACTCTCCGTCCAGGTCCGATTACCCTGTTTATATTCGAATTTATGCTCCTTGAGCGCCTTCTGTTTGGCCAATTCCCGTGTCACGATCAGGGGACTTGCCACGACGGGGAGCAAGATGACAACGCAGCCATATGCCCAGCGCCAGTTGGTCTCATGGAATTGCTCGGACAAAGGTGCACCCGCAAAGGCGGTGATCATGTAGGGAGAGGCTGTGAATGCAAAGGCCATGCCACGATTGCGCAAGGAGGAAGTATCGGTCGCCAGGACGTCGATGCTGAAGATCAGACCGGTGAACCCGACGTAGTAAAAAACCTGGGCCGCACAGTAGGTGCCGATGTTGGTACACGCAGCCATCATAACCAATCCAATCATGGCAATCAGCACCATCAGGGAGAGACCAAGTGTGCGATCCCAGAGATTCAGGATCTTAGCAATAGGCATGGTGCACGCGGCAGTCATGATGGAGATGATGATATAGATGACCGTCAACATGGAGTGCTGGGAAGGATGGGTTGTCGCATCGTTCACAACGTGGCTGAATTAACTCCTGGGCAGCTAGCAATAGTGTTGGACTGCAGCTATATCCCCCCACTGTAGCTGCCTCTTCCCCACTGACGCCCAAGATCTGTTGAATGAGTTTTCCCGCCATCCAGCTCCAATTCTTTCCGCTCTAAAGCCATATGTCTAGCAAGAACCGCTTGGCGTCGAACTAGATGGCCAGGCTAGCGTGGACGACATACTAGATGGATCTGGTACTCGGAGCAATGGGAGTGAATAATGACCTGGTCTGGATGGTATGATACGCATTTTGAACCTGTGATTTAGTGCCTATTATGACTCTCTGGTGATGAACCAAGGTCAAGCGATTCCACAGCGCTCGATAGTGGTTTATGGGACAAACCAAGGAGTTAGAGCAAGAATCCAATCGGTCAAGTGATCTTATCAGATTGTTTAGGCCGATATCAGATATTGGGCAAACTTGAACATCCAGTGCGAAAGATTGATGTTCTTCTATTGCTCGGCGTGTTCTCGTTGGGTGCTGCGAAGGCAAGATAGTATTATGGGGAGTGTATCAACTGGAATAGTGCCAACTCTCCGATCAATGAACCCATCCATGGTGAATTCCGTGACAGGCTATCTCGCTCAAAGGAAACCTGATATTCAGCCAAGACCCCTTGGCGGCATATATGTGTAAGCGAGCTGGGCGAGAACCGGATAACTGGATTGCTTCCCTTGGCCTTGCCACACCAGGTTTGATATCTTATCTGATCTCGGCAAATGCAGATGATCGAAGTCTTGAAAATATATAGCGCAACACGAATCGTCTGGGCTAGAGCTTTGCCATGTGGAAATAGTCCCGAGGGTACAGAATCAATAGACCTGTAGTATAGCATAATACCGGATATAGGAGGTTTATGAATGCAAACATTAGTAGAACAATCCATCCTTGGTGAGAGATGCTATCCTAAGACATCATCACAGTTGCCTCACACTTGTTTCAACATGACTGGGATGATCTATGGTGTTCTCCATTGATTCAATTAACCAGGACATGGATACCGCTTACGAGACACTCTGCCACAGGACGTAGGTAGTGGCAATTCAGAAGGCCTGATTTCAAGGACACGAAATGACATGGTAGGTTCCCCAAGTGCTTCTGAATCAGTGACATCTGTCACTCTGCAAGGAAGCCCAGTCAGTCAGAGTCCTCAATGATGAGGAGAATATCAGACACGTCAGGAATGAACACATAAAGAAAGAATGTTGTAAGGGCTCCACAGATTTACCACATCCTCATGTCGAAAAACTGGCTTTGCAACACTGAATATGGGAACTGCAATGACAACCATGGATTCTCTGGAAAATATCAGTTAATGTGTTCATTGTTTCTTTGGGGTCGTTCCTCTACCCCAGAATGAGGCAGAGTTAAAAGCAGATCTTGTTTTCGCGGATCTGGATCGAGATCCAGAGAGCAGCGGATCATCATTTCCACTGATCAGCACTGGCTCAACGACCACCAGACCTTGGCCGGCACGGTCTATCAGGCCGGTCATGCTTGAACTCAAATCTCACATCCTTCCTCGATCGATCTATGTCCAGATCGAGCTCTTTTCTGCCGGTGATGCAGGACCTGAGAAGTCAGAATTCTACAGTCCAGCGGGTATTAAGGTTGATGATCTCCATGATGTCAGTCTGATGTTTGACGATACCCGAGATTTCGGCCAAAATTGCTTCAACAGACTCACCGGAATGGTAGGAGAGTGTAACAAACGATGGAATCTATGGAAACTATGATGCACAGAGAGTGTCATCGCAAGGACATTGGATGCTCTGGGCGCATCCAATCTACTCGTAGCGGTCGGCAACCTCTCGTCTATATAAGACTCGAAATTCTCCCCAATTCATCTTCTGATCTCAATTAGTTAAAGCATCATAATAGTCACTACCTCATTCAGATCCAACCTCTTATTCCAAAGTTAATATCAAATTTTCCACAATGGTTCAAGGGCAGACTGACACCGGCGAGAAGTACAAGCCCAGCGGTATGTGGCGATGGGAATCCAATCCACAATAGTTTCATGCTAATTCTGCTTAGAGCACGGCGGTCGCCGCGAAGACGGCCAGCCTGACAAGCGCACCCAGCAATCCCAATTCGCCTACGGGAAGGTTGACCCTCAGAAGGCCGGTCAAGAAGGTGGGAGAGTTGGTGGTATTGCCAGTGGGAAGCCTCAAGACGCCGGGGATAATTAACTGTCTTTACGAGCCCCATGAATCATAATTTCTGCTGCAGAAGATTATGTGGTATGGTTGCTTCGACATAATGTATTTATAGTAATGTCTCGCCTCAGCGAAGGCCTCATAAACATACACATCGAACTTTGACCATCACGTAATTTGTATCTTCAAGCAGATCATCCAAATAAGTAGGGTCGTGCAAAAGTTTATGATAGGCAGCCTAGGGCTACAAAGATTTTGAGCATGTTGATATTGTGTCCCTTTGGACATTCTTTCAAACTGTTCAAATATATATTCGACGACACGCCTATCTATATTGGAGAACTACCAGTATAGACTATTTATCACACGAGCAAGGGACATTCTCTATATGCATACAAAGAGCTAATTGAGGATAATAAAAAAGGAAAAAAGAAAATGGGATGAACCGGGATTGAACCGGTGACCTTTAGATATCAAAGCAATTGTACACTGAAACTGAAGTTGACACTTCAGTCTAACGCGCTCCCAGCTGCGCCATCACCCCATTGGTTGATAAAGTCGATTGAAGAATAGTACTTTATTCAACGGAAAATAGAGCCACATAAGAAGGAAGACACTTGGGGAAGACAGCCGGATTGAGATAGGAACAGACAAAGGATGTCCAACCATGACTGTAAATATTAGCTATGACCATACAGGGGATAATGAAACTAACCATTTTCAATTTAGTCATGCATCATGACTCCTGTGATGTCCAACCAAGCTACAGAGATTACCGCCGAACTCCCCGATTGCAGCAATGAGGGGCAGATGCATCGGGGATGCAGCTTCTATAGTACCTAGGTACTCTGTAGTTGCCCTGACAAGAAAAAGATGGCCGGATCGATTATGCTATCCTCAATATCAGCTTTAGAACGAAGGCCTCTCCAGCTCAGCAAGAATCTCATGTCACTCCGTCAGCTGAAGAGGTTCTACCAGGATACTACATTGACCAATAGATATGATATTCTGACCCATGAATCGAATTCGATCAATAATTGGAGATACCTCTGTCGATTGTTGTATTGCCATTGTAGTATAGCCCAATCAAGATTATCCCTCAAATTTGGATTGCACGATATGGCTGGATTTATAAGCACTCACCATAGTGCTATTGATGGTATATTCTTTATGAACACTCTCTTCACGCCTTTCGATCCCCATTCGGCCTCTTAGAACAGAGAAGCAAGCAGCAGTGTCTCATGAATAAAATGACTGTCTCTGTGCCACCTAATATAACAGACTACTTCAACAGAGGCCCATTGACCACCACATTTACGCCGCCCACACACTGTCTCCAAATCTTATCTACTGCTGCTTATGAAGTGAATGGAACGCCACAAACAACCACATACTATGGTCATTGGTTTGGCGGACCTGGGCAGACATGCTATCCAACATGCACCATGCTGGCCTCTCTGCTCAGTTCTCCAACTTTCTGGGGAACACTGCCAAAATCGTAAATGTGCTTTGATCAGCTTACATGTCATATCCAGACTCTCCAGGCCTGTATTGCCCAAGCGGCTGGACTACAGCAGGACAGTTGTTCGGATCTTAGAATGGGTTGACCATTTTCAGTAGCACCAGCGGGGCAATGTGCTGTCCCTTGTGAGTTCATACCATAGGGCCATAAATAACCTTTACTTTAATACGCAATAGGAATATGAATGTCTATGCCGATGGCATTTCACTCGTCTGGGAGAGATCGGATTCCCCACAGACGATCAACGCATCTGCTACTTCAACTTTCACTCCTACCTCATCAGCAGGCAATACAATGCCCAGTTCGCCCACTTCAGGTGGAATTAGTGAAGGAGCGAAAATTGGCATTGGACTCGGTGTACCCTTGGGAGCTCTCATGATAGGAGTGAGTGCCTACTTCTGTTGTCTTCGGCGATGCTAGAGACAGCGGGTTAGGAAAATGCCACCTTCCGCGGATATCTATGCCAGCCATCTGGAGCCGAGTGAACTACCACAGAATATTCGTTCGCAGCTGCCGTCTTGCACTGTAACTAGACACGAACTAGCTTGACTCGACTTTCGAGGGAGTCCAATAGCCGTCTTTTCATGACGATGAATCAGCAGAGTACACTAAAGTGCACATTATGCCTGTACAGAATTCCGCGCCAGAAAGAGTAAGAGTATAGGGAACTCAGGCCCTGAAGATATCTTGAGGGGAGTAGGAGCGAGCCGTGCTCTACCCAACATGCCATTGACTTTTTCTTCAGTGGAGACTCAGATATAAGCCCCAAGTTTCCTCCTAAGACGAACCCAAGCATTGTTGACTGGTATGCCAAAATTTCTCGTTTGTGGGGTTCCATTTTGGGCGTTGGTCGAAATGACAAAAAGTACAACGGACTTTATCCGATAAGCATCGCACATTCAAGTTGCGATTTGAAGACGCTCCCTTGTGCCATTTTGGGTTCTGAAACCGGGATCCCCAGACACATAGGAGATATACCTATAAGTCACGAATCGGCGCTGTTGCAGGGTCATTGCCTCTGTCTCTGTTGCTAGCGTAGGTTGACATTAAGTCGGGAGACGGGTTCCTGCATAATGTCAATAATGTCCTTTGCTTGCAGGAAATGGTTGAAACTATATTTATCATGCTTGATGCTTAGTTACTTGGCGCAGAAGCTCCATAATCATACATAGTCTCCAGAGTCCAGACTTAATACTACTACCCCCTGTGGGCAAGCACATCCCTCAGAGAGTCCGTGAGGACCTCAAGATCATTGCGGCACGGTTCATCTAGATAAAGCCTGGAGCTCTGAGCCCTGCTTACGCACTTCCTGGGTAGCTTCTTGATCATCATTCCTCTGGCGTGGGACAGCAGATTGGGCTAATTAACATACCAAGTCCGAGATATTGGGAAACATAGTGCACTCGCCCGGGCGACAGTGTGTCCTGACCCCCGTGTACGGTGTAGGTTGGTAAGGATGCTGTGTGCCGGCCTTCATTATCCCTGAATATATTGACTAGAGGAACTGATAAAAGAAGCGACGAGCTTAAGGATTTGAGGTGGAACAATCAATGTGTTATCAAAGATCGCCCTTCGAAGAATTCGGACGAGAAGCTGGGATGACCTTAGAAATACCGATCATCGAGGGACTCTCTCGACTTGTATGGTGCCTGTCAATATTGAATAGAAGCGATAGCCAACTAGTGAAATCTTTTTGAGAATGTGGGTAGAATGAAGTACAGGCATGCGGCTTGAAGTCACATCGGGCATGCATCCATAATGCTTCATGGGGCGGTGGCCTATGAATCGAAAATCATACCCTTGATCTCGATCTCTCGATACTCACTAATTGAGAGTCCCAATCGAGTCTATTATTGAAAGTTGTCGGCAGTCCGGTGAGGCTGGACTGTCCAGAATTCCGACTCGTGCTTCCCTACTATACTGGGTTATGAGACGTCTACTCCGTACGAATTACAGTCACTTTGTAGCACCCTGGTCCCTGTGTCATTACCCACTGCCGATGATGAAAGTTCTGTTAATGATCTTAGATATTACTTTCCAGCCCCTTAATCTAGTACATTGAAATTGTATATCGAAGCAAAATGAGCAGAAAATAAAGGAATTGTTGAGGCATCTCTTGTTAAGAAAAAACCCATAATTTTATCTCCAGTTCAGTTGACAGCTCGATGACCCTTGAGCACCAATCACGTATACTCAAAGATGATCAATCAGACCGAAGTAGGTGATAGACTATGGGCATGTCTTTAATCCTAATCATAATGATCTTACTCACATTGGTTGATAGACTCCATGGAACGACGATTCGCCATAAATATCTGTGGTGCGATCAGTCCTACGGAGTACCAAGATATGCACGACGGTGATGTGGAAAATCGGTGCCCATCATGATTCATAGACTTGGCTGGGGTAGACGAACAACCCGAGTCTCTTGTCCTATTAGTTCCCTTATCATCCTTCGCGCGACACCACCCGTCTTTCTTATGGAGCGATGAACATCCAGGCTCCAGCACATAGGCTATGGAGATCTTAATCAAAAGTCGATTGCCCTGTAAGCCCAAAGATCTCGATCTGGTGTGTCGCCTACAGGTATTAACCTGGTCTGGTCTAGCTATCTGCTAGTGCTCCAACTAGTGCATCAATCATAGGCGAATTCCCGGTTTTCAGGATGGGGGTATCTCACCAAGCACCAGCCTGAGCTGATCATACCTTATCCAGTTAGCGCGCATCGATCGCCGTCACGTATTTCAATAGTGCGCTGATCATCCTGGTCATTGCATTGCAGGCAAAGCAAAGTTCCGCCAGGACCCAGATACAGCGAGCCGTGTGGCCGACAGTCCAACAATCCGCTGCGAAGACGTTGACATTTTCGAATAGTCCCAGTTTTGAGGTTTGAGAGCGTGGTCGTTATCTGTCACCCTACCCAGCCGGAGCGCTTGCATTGCATGTGCTGTTGATGTATGGGCATGCCTTAGCTTCCACGTCCGAGTACGCATGTCAGATTGGATTGGATCACATTCTGGCGTTCTCGGAAATGTTGACGACTAGGACACCTTATCGTGGAATGTAATGTAGGACATGTGCGTTTGCCTGACTTCAAATTACTCCATCCAGCCTAGTACTATATAGGTCATCGCATGTACTATAGACTTTCTACTAAGGATTTGATGGTTACACATTCTTCTAGGACTCTCTGGACCCACGTGTTTTGGCCCATAAACTCTGCCGATTCATAGTTACAATGGTTATTGTGGATAACCACCTACGCTTCATTGGTAAAACTAACATGCAGTTATCATGAGTGATAAATGGCCATAGCCCGGGACGCATCTTTCTTTTTTCCCAATGCTTCTTACTCTCTTTTGGCTCCTTTTTCCAGCACGCACATTATGGGGTCGGAACTTGGAGTCAGGCCCGACTCCAAGCCAGAGCCCATATACAGCCCGGTGAGCATCTGGTGGGCCACCTGGGCAGGCGTATGGACTCTCGCTGTCGCCAGCGGAATGGCCTACCTCATAAGTCGTCGCAACATGCCCATTCTCCGCATGCGAGGCCTGAGTCTGTCGTTATCTGCCGTCGTCCTCCTTCATTTATATTACGTCCCCGTTCAGTTCGGTACAATGATAGGTCCCATCGTGCCCGGAGATGCCCAATTCTGGATTATGGGCACTTTTTTACCATGCGGCATCGCTCTCTTTCATGCCTCCAACAGCCGTTTCCTTCACGTCGCGAAACTCCAACGCAAATATGTGTATAATGATAGTCGACTTATTGAGATTCCTCCGAACCGGAAGAAGGGAGGGCTACTCGGTCGCTTCCAGCGTTTGGAATACGATACGCGAATCCTTATTCTTGTTGGCATTGGAATGATTGCTCAGGTTGGGCGATCGCCTCCCATACTGTATGATGCAACTAACCGGGGGTTCTAGATTCTTCTCACCGTCGTAATGTGGTTGACTTCTCGTAAATGGCATCCCACCTGGGGTATTCCTGGTACCGAGGTTCATGGTGCGAAGATGGCACAGTTGTCAGCTATGGGTCGGGGATACGAATGGTAAGGAGACCCAGAATCTTGAATCACTGCGATTATAGCGATTATATGGTATGATTGGGTGCTAAAAAATTGAAGGTGGCCGAGTATCTTCTGGCAACTTTTCTGGGCCTGGATTTTTGCCCCGATTGTTCTCTGGAAATCTCGCAATATCCGTGACACCTATAGCTGGCGTGTACAGACAATCGGCTGTGCCATAGCCAAGTGAGTATGACCATCGAACATGTATGACCGCCTTTCCTAACCTCATATATAGTCTTCCCGGCGCTCCGTTGTGGCTTATTTCCATCTATGTGCCTGCCTTCGACAAAGTGAACGAAGTCTGGCTGCCTCCGCAGTGGTAAGCTTTCAAGTTAGCGTTTAGTGTTCTTTCAGAGAGTTGTCTGATTTGATGGCAGGATATGTCTTTCAATTCTGGTGATGGAAATTTTCACCGTCTTTCTTCCCTGTTGGGAAGTAATGCGCCACCAAGCTCTTCGCCAGGAGACACTCGACTGCATCGCCCAGTGGGAGGCAAAGAACAAGACCAGTAGCTCGGCAACCAAGTCCCTTGCCTCGACCGGGACTCTGGTAGAATCTATATTGGCCGGTGCCAAATCTACCAACGGCTCTGTAGAGACCAATAGTTCTCGTGAGAGTATTTTGACAATGGGGGCTCTTGAGTATGTCTTGCAGCGGGATCCAGCTCCTCTCCAGAGATTCTCTGCTCTAAACGACTTTTCCGGAGAAAACATTGCCTTCCTTACTAGCGTTGCCGAATGGAAAAACACCTTCCCCCGAGCAATTCGAGAGAACGACGCCTCTCAGGACTGCAATACCGAGGACTTAGTCCGTGAGCGATTCAACCGCGCCCTGCACATCTATGCTGAATTCATCAGCATTGCCCATGCCGAGTTTCCTGTCAACATCTCCTCTCAGGATCTGAGGAAACTCAGAGATATCTTCGATCTGCCGGCTCGTATGCTCTACGGTGAGGAGCGCGAGGTTGTCGATCCTGCTACCCCTTTTGACTCCTTCAAACCACCGGCTTCACCTACCTTTTCAGAAAGCTCACAAAAGGAACTTCAGAGCTCGGTGGCCGCTATTCATGATCGCGTGCAATACTGGGGCGATGTTCCTGAAGGGTTCGGTCCTGCTATTTTTGACGACGCAGAGGAGAGCATAAAGTACCTCGTCCTCACCAACACGTGGCCCAAGTTCATCAAGAATCGCACGGCATCAATAGATGCAAGCAATAGATTGCATGCCGGTGAGAGAGTCTGATTGGGCCGGTGAGTGACGCATAAAATAAGTTTTGATGAACAGAGATATACCCCCATTTACGGATGTTGAACTCCTTGTACATATACTGATTATTAATGCAGATAGATAGGCGGTGTACATGCCTGTCTGTTGTGACACTTTGATACCAGGTTTTCGAATCTTGGAAGATTTCCTTTGTCTATAATATCTTAGATTCTTGAATGATGTGTTTTCCTCAGATGATCTATTATATTACCAGCACAGGGAAGAAACTTTATGCTGCAGAGGTCGTCTAGCTGGCACAATCCTGGAGTCGTGCTGATATTCTAACAATTTGATCTCCAGCTTCGACATTAAGTTTATCAAGCAATGATACGTTGTAGATGCCTTCTCTAGTGATTTTACCCATAATCCTCCCTGCGTTCCTATCCTCAAAGACATGATAACCCACACACTCCTGACCATCTTCAATGTGCCCTGTACTTATCGAGTCTCTGGCATGACTTGTCGGTGCTTAGCCTCCGCCATAGCGTACTTCCAAATCTCTACTTCGCAGCCACCTCGGAGAACACCTACACGCCTCATCAACAGAAGATTATGGGCAGCGTTAGAATGCTGATAGATGGCCCCATTAAACATGCCGGTGCCATCTTTGCCAATTACCGATGAAATGAATGCCTTACCACCCGGGTCCTCCTGGATGAAGTTGAAAACATCAGGGATGACGCCTCCAATGGCGACTAGGGCCCTGCTAGCAGACTCGGTGACAAACCCGTCCCAGTCCAGGACAGGGCTGCTCCAGCGGGATCCCCCAATCTAATCTGATACGTTCTGATCTACCTTCTTCTGCAACTGCTGCAGACGGCCCTTTGAAATCTCATTTTTGCGGAACTGCTTCAAATCATAAGCAACTCCGAGCTTCTTCCAGATCCAAATTGCCCACTTGGTCGGATCATATTGCCCCCACTGAATTGCGTTACATAATCAGAGGGAAACTCATGATATAAGTCATGATATCCTTCCCCAAGGGTCACTAGAGCGGTAATGACGTGATCTCAGGGAAAATTACGGTCATCGAACGGCCGTTCCCCAAGCCAATGAGCCAGGGAATTCACGTAGAAGGTGGCCTGTTGAATGAAGAAAACGCGCAGAATACCACTGTATATAAGACCCCCACGCAAATCGCCCCATCCCAGGCCGCAAGCCAAGGTAGGGAAAATCAACGTCATGAAGAGGGCAGATTTGATGAAATTCTTGTGCTGCCAAACCACCACAGGATTAGCATCAGGATCAGCGACATCTGTCATTTCAACCTTTTGTAGTTCTGCTTGATAACTAGCTGGCCAATATGTGAATATCAGAACCCTTTGCGCACTGAAATTGGGTCTTTCTCCATGTCTGTATAGTGGTGGTGGGCTCAGTGACCGCGAGCCCACCAGCGAATCAAACCCTGTCCCGCTGCAGCCCCAACCGCAGCAAGGTAGATCTGTAATGGAAGAGTGGCCTTGTACGAACAATATGCTCAGTACCAGTGATATCCTGGATAATCAGCGAGTGGGTTTCGTTCATTTGGGAGAGGGCCCATACCAGCTGTTATGCCAAGGCCGGCATTGAAGTGATAGACAACTGCAAGTAGAGCCGTGAGAGGATGTAAGGGTGTCCAATAGGCCCTAATGCAACCCAAGAGCGGGATGAAGAGTATGAAAGTGCAGTTTAGCCAGTTATATACTTGGGCCAGTTTGTCCATGCCATAGGTTGGTCAGAAATATGCGATGTTCCGATGGAGTGCTTTCGCAGAGGAACATAATCTGTAGTGCCATCATTGAGGGGCGCAACACCAGGAGTCTGGCTATTTATCATGGTGACGACAGAAAAAAAAAAATAAGTTGGTTCCCCAGAAAGTCGCAGATCATGCATTGGTAATTAAGGGATGTAGGAAAACAGAGAAGTCTGTGTTTATTATCATTATATAACTTGTTAAGAATGAATGTCTTGCTTGAGAATTTATAATTTGTGAAAGACAAAGATGGTGGATATATGAGATGGCGAGTATCTTGAGTACATACACATCCTGTTTGGGCAACACAGGGTGATTAGAACAAGTTTGGATCAAAGTCTATGCCTGTTGTTGGCTTTCTAAATTTGGTGTTATTGGAATAAATCTATAGAGATGATGAGGCCGACGAACATCAGCATTCAGTGGCCAACAGTGGTGGATTTAGTGCGACAAGGACTATTTGAAAGACTCTAGATCTAAGTGATGGATATACAATATTTGTGTGCTCCTGTGGCTAATAATAACAAATCTTTAAATCTATACTATTATTAAGAATCTTCTTTGCTGAACTCCTACCTTTACTCCAACTGCAGACCATATTCAAACCTCTGGTCTGGAATTTAAAGCACGCACTATCACAAGTAAGCAAGTAGAGAATACAAAGGTGTTTGAGTGAACAATCATTAAGGAACTCGGCAAATTGACTACCGTAACTTTGGGATAAGGAGGGCCTTCTTACCTCACAGACTGGGATTATCATCAATGAAACACTCGTGTGCAATAGATATGCAAAACCAGACGCCATTAACCCCAAACAATCACCCAATTAACATGAACTCGATGTTGTACATGGCCTGTTGTAGCCTTGTAGGTAGGCTTACCCTACCATACTATTAGTCAGCACCCGCCTGCCAAGACCTTTACCGAGCTCACCTACATGAGCATCACACACACCTGGCACCTAGCCAGGGATATCCTACCCCTATGACATGGCCTCTGGATATTTGGGAATGGAATATGTATCTGCATGGTATATAGCTTGGCCCGGGGGGTATAAGAATACTAGCTGGATACTAGTAGACCATAAGGCCAAAAGACCAACATTACCGCGAGTTGCCTGGCAGCTCGCGAATCCAGACCCATATAGTAGCGCACTGGGTAGCTTATCTCTCTCAGAGATCCTTACGGAGGGCTTCTGATCAATGCTGTCCGGCTGGAGTTTCATCACAAATGAGGGCCTCATTCAAAATGTAGTTCTTGATTCTCGACATCCAAACCATCATTTAACTGAGATCATTCCAACCAAAAAGCAAATAATAATATGTACAGCTAGTAATTGATTAAACAGCAGGAGAAGGGGCTCTACACAGTAGAAGATCTAAATGGTATAGCATGACTAATGCAAACACCGAAGCAGGTGTAAATTATGATGAGCAAGACTATCACTGCTTTTGGTAGGGGTCTGAGCTAGATAGATTAATACCATAGCTTGATTGGCTCAAAGAATCCCTGCTACTTGCTAGCTTTCATCAAGATCCTGGTAGCTTCTAGGCTTGAAAATGAAATGAGGGATCAGCACTCAGCGCGTAGAAGGGTCACTTCATTGGCTTAAATAGCGCCAGGAACAGCAGACATGTTCGGAGTAGAGATAGTGAAATGTGAAGCCTACTTAACTATAAACATCCCAGACAAGTGTTTATAGAGTTCTTACCACTATCTTAACTTCCACAATAACCCATAGTCATGTCCTCACCAGTCTGCCATGGAATGCATAGAGGGATTATTCAGAATATCCCTGATGATGAGCCCTGCGGAATCACAAATAACACCCACCCACATGTCCCCTGCTGTGTTAAAGGAGACTACTGTCTGAGTAACTCTATTTGTACTGGCACTAATGACAGGAATGAAAGCTTCTACTATACAGCTGATTGCACTGATCAGACCATGACTGATCCAGCTTGTGTGCCACGATGTGGTAAGTGTTCTGCAAAGTACAAGTGAACTAGCTAAGCCATGTCTAAGGTGGTCGTAACAGTGCCTTTATTACATACACGGACAAAGGAACATGGGCCTGCTGCGAGAATGGGGCTACCGGGATCGTCGACTGCTCCAATCCCTCGGATGAGGTCTATCCGGGCCCTATGCCGTCGAAACTCGTAACAGTACAATTTCTGCCGACTCTAGGGACTCCCACGTATGCAGTACAAGCTACGTCTGGAGAAACAGGGAGTGACTCTAGTCTTGTCTCTACCTCTGCAACACAGCCAGCGTCTTCGAGCTTAGGAGTTGTCCCTGCTGCGATGATCGGTGTGTTCGGGACTGCCGGGCTTGTGCTGGTTGTCACAGCGGTTGCGCTTTGCTTTCTACAAGTGCGGATTACCAGGAGAAAACCCGCCACAGCCAAGCAATACCAAGACGGTTGTGGAAATTCCGAGGGTATGTTGATTACGCGAGTTGGCTCGCGTTCTATGTCAACATCTGATACAATGCCACCGTATGAACTTGACAGGATAGCGCCATCACCTCATGAGCTGGACTCCAATATCATTCATAAATAAATATCGTGGGGACAAGTTGATTCCTCCACTAGGACCTCAACTCTTCAACTTCTCGATATACAGAGGATGCTAAACTCATGACTCTCGTCGATGTCCAAAGATCACCAACGGGAGGTGAAATACATGCAAATGAACGCTAGCGACGGGATAGGACTCCCTCCTCCTGTGTTTCATGATAATACTCCGGGGATCCCGAATAGTCTTGGCACCATGATCGTCGGTTCCGTTGGTAGTGGGAGGTCAGCTATAATAGAGAGTTTTCTTAGAAAGACCATTCATGTCGAAGCTTGTTATAGGGAAAAATTTATCTCCTGTCGCATACGGCATACTGCCCTTGGAATCCATGGCTTCGGAGTCGGTCTATTCGGCAGAATATTCTTGGCGAATTACGAATGGATCTTGAATGATATAGAACCCTGATTCTGGCTTGCGGACTGGAGAAAGATATCAGTCAACTTGCCTGAGGAGTTAAGACACCTGTGGCCGGCAATGGGACGATACTGAGTGAAAATAATGCACTGTAAGCGAGACCGCCTAATATGTCTAGTAGTCACATTACTGAGCATATGACTCTGGAGATTGGCTAGAGCTCTCTAATCACGACGCAAGATTATCTTGCTAGACGATCTGGCTAGTAGCACTGATGCTATAACCGTGTATCATTTGACTAGACATCTATTGATGCTGGAGGATTCTTCCAGGAGATGCATCCATTGTTACGATCGTGTCGCTCTTGTGGAGGGCGGATCTGTGGCCATTCGGTTACCCAGCAGCACTACTTACCAAGGGCTTGCGCTTCAAGGAGCTATACGATGGAAATTTGTGATTGTATGGAGGTCCTTTCCTAATTTCTACAACTTGGCCCGTTAGTGCTAGCTCACTCTGGGCAGACTGAGGCAGCATCAATGAGAGACCAGCACATCCTGAAATATACTTCTACACCATGGTTAGCCCCTTATGTTGAGATGGAGGACAAAAAACCCAACATTTCCTGAGGGAGGGGAGTTATACACAAGTTCTATGAGCCACATATTCCTGGTCGCAACTGGCTTGGGAAATAGTCATGTGACTATTGGTTTTGGTGTTTTCATCTCCAAAAATCGCGCCAAGATCTGACAGAGATTTTTGCATACACTAGATATATTGTAAGCATAGGGAACAACACAACTTCACAAGTTCTCTCCCTCCTTCCCTCCGCCCAAGGCTATCAATTCCATGGATCTCCCATAAAAGCGATAGGACTATGGAACAAGAGGCAGTGACAGGGAAAAAAAAACCAGAGTTCGACGACTATCATCCCATGCAACCAATCTCCACCGTGTATCATCCAAATTGCATGATCCGAAAGCTAGGAAACAAGGATATGGAGAGAGCAAGCAAGTTCCAAGAGCTGCCCATTGAGCCACAAGGCATATTATGGCAGGATGGTTTTATTGATCCCGAGCACGAGCAACAGCTTATTTCCATCTTTCTCAACAAGCTCAAATGGGATGATCGCCCCGGTCGCCAGTCCCTCCATTATGGCTACAGCTTCGACTATAAGACGCATGGAGTAGATCCAGACGTCCCATTTAAAGAATTTCCGGACTGGCTGCAGCCTCTCATTCCAACTACCGAGTGTAGGCCGCCGGACCAGGTCTGTCTGCAGTACTATCCACCAGGCGCTGGCATCCCACCACACGTAGATGGGCACATGGCCTATGACCAGCTCTACGCGTTGTCGCTTGGTGCGCCGATCCTAATGCGCTTTCGCAAGGAAAAGCAGCAAGTTGACATTGATCTGACCCCACGGAGCATGATGCGGATGACGGGTGACGCGAGGCTGCATTGGACTCATGGCATTACGAAGCGCAAGACAGACACACTGTCTGATGGCACGGTCAGGGCACGAAGGAATCGGTGGAGTATCACATATCGTTGGATCAGGGAAGGGGAGTGTGAATGTGGGAACATTGAACTGTGTGATGTAGCCCAGCGTCGAAATGGGATCAAGAAGGAAATGAGGTCGTTGAAGGGGCTAGCAGCAAAATCCGAGGAAATAACCGAGTCGCCTCCATAGAGCCAAGGCTGGTCTGGCTTTGCTATGATCCTAGGGCAAATCATAACCCGCTAAACCACCGCTGGGACGGGCAATACTATGGCGCCATCAGTATGGCGATAATCCGTGTATCACACATGGCTTCTGGGAGTTGGCAAATTTAGATATATTTGACTCTCATCCTCTGAACAGGTACGGGATATCTGTTTGGTTAAGGCACATACAGCTCTCACCAGCATGAATATGGGATATATTATATGTGCTGTGAATGGTATAAGCTTGTTGGATTGGAAGGATGTATATATAGTGACACATTCAAGCAAGCTTAGGATAGACCTCTCTGAAATTTACTTATCCAAAGTGGCACTAGCTGGGATGTAGTTTCTCTCTGCCCCCCAAAGCTCTACTAACGCGCATATCCTTCAATGCATGGCAAGATACTAAAGCAGCAGTGTAACTATGAATCCAGCGCAATTCTCAAGCCCCAGTGTCTCAGACGTGGACAAGAGCCAAATGGGGCCGATGAGGCCAAAGTTTATGTAAAAACAGTCATCAATGTATGGAAGGAAATAGACCCGAGTTAGCTTCTTTTCTCAAAAGAGTTGTGTTCAATCCGCGATATGATGAGAATATCCTAGATTACGTGAGTCTAGACATTTGCTTTCCATTACAGCTAATTACAAGGATCATTTGACATCCGCTGTCTTCGGGGACTAAGCTTTCTCAACATGGCCACTATTTATCTGGTAATGAAGACATAGCTTGGATAGGCGAACTGCCCCAAGGTCAGGGTGTTTAACTTGGTAGCATGGACAAGTGTAGGCAAAAGGTGACTGCAGAAGGTATTAGATGTGTAAGAACCCCAGATGGTGGGTAGCTACATATTAATATACTGACCACATTCCTGATGAAGGGCCTTCTCCATCGACTTTCAGTGCTCTCAATTGTATACCATATATCAGTACGAAGGGAGTTGACTACTATTATACTAAACCCGATCTCCTCTCACCCAGAACTCCATTCGGCGCAAGCGAGCATCTGTGGTTGATTCAGTGGAAGAACCAGATATGCTACTGGTATGCCCTTATTGGAGTTTTTGCTACCATGACAATAAGTAGCCCTGATATATCGTTAACTCAGTATGGCAACTTTCCTGCTGTATCAACAGCTTTCTAGGACCGGACTGGCAGAATCTCATGGGGCAAATATGCTGATTGCTTGTTCTATTGAGAACCTTAAATGGTGGTTGAGAATCCATTTGAATTGCTACCATGAGTATCCCCCCACACCATGGCTTGATGAATTTTCCTTTGGGCTAAAAACCCCTCTTTCCATTCTCATTGAACTCGGATGAAGTACATGGTGGTAGCACGTTGGGGTTGGGCGCATTGCAGCAATTCCCGCATCCATCCTCACAAGAATGTTGCTCCTGAGTTGACATAATCTAGGGCTCCAATGGTTTTTGGTTGCTAACTCCACTCAAGTTGGAGATTGCCAGGGGTTAGGGCAAGGTTTTTGGCGAGACCGTCATGAAGATCAAGTTTGTCTGACCAGCTCAGTGCCACCATTTGTGGCACAGACCGTACAGTAAACCTTCAATACAGGCAATCAATACATGAGACTGCTTCTATTGGTATTATCAAGGTATTGCCTATGGTGAATGTTTAAGACTTGAGACTTACTGCTACCTTTCTTATGTTATGTTCTACTCCGTACTTTCAACAGTATTCACCATACTTTAATTATCTTACTAGACAGTAGAATTGATTAGTATATTCCAGGTAATGCTTACATCAGCATTACTTGAATCACTTTTATATGAGAGGAGTGTAAAACCAAAGTTACTAGCTTATATCAAGTGCTGTGGTAATTCTATATAAAAAATTAATAATGCTTATATGAGCATTTTGCCAACACTAAAAGCTTGATCCCCTTTTCCTGGGTCATTATGCAATTAATTCCGAGAACCATTGAGAATTAGCACTGAGGTATAAATATTTAGCAGAATGGCCAACCAAAACCAATTACTAAATCAGCATCTGCGACACATAAGGCACTTCACTGACCAGATGCATCATGACTTCAGCTTGGTCTCAGGATAATAGGCGCGAAGATGATATGCTGTCATTACACCCTGCTTGTAAGCCTCAAATTCAGCCTTTTGTTGGTCGACTTGGAGGAAATCAGAAATTCGTCCTTGATCGAACCGACCCAGACAATGCAGGGGCCCTGATGGAGGTGCCCGATGCGGCACCTTTGATGGACTGGAAGGATTCCCTGCGTCTCTCTGGATTCAAAAGATGGTCATTGTGGAAACTCAGTGGCATTGAATGCATTGGTATGTTATTTGAGTTCAAATTTACAGGAAAATTGACTTTTGAGATTAGGGACTATGATGTTAGCTTTCATCACAATATGGGCATCTGCACGGGCAGTGCCCTTATCAGATGGAGTATCAGCTTCTCCCGAAGTAGCGCCTGCTCCTGCCATCCTTGATCCCCTGATAGGAGGCATTTTCAACTGGCTTTTCCTTACTCTATTCACCTTCACATTTTCGCCAGTGAGTGGCAGTCATTTGAACCCAACCATCACACTTGCTACTTTTTTTGCCCGCCTGATCAGCCTACCACGCATGGTTTTGTACATTGGTGCACAGATTTTAGGTGCTGCTCTAGCGGGCTGGATTCTGCGCTTTACCTGGGGCTCAAATGATATCGTTGTTGGGGGTTGCTCTATTGACATGAAGCTTATCTCTGTTTCAGAGGCATTTGTGTTAGAATTCATCTTCTGCTTGATTTTGGTTTTCCTTGCTTTTGGTGTAGGACTGGATCCTCGTCAATTAAGTGTCTATGGAGCAGCCCTGTCCCCTTGGTTAGTCGGGTTAATCTTGGGATTGTTAAGTTGGGCTTCAGCAGTCCCACGCCAGGGCTATGGAGGAGCTTGTGAGTTTGTTGTCAAATCAGGCACATATCAAACCACATTAGCTAATTTTTTTAGCCTTGAACCCTGCACGATGCTTCGGTGTATATGTTGCTACAGGCTTTCCTACCTATCATTGGCTGCATTGGGTGAGTTTGGGGCCTTAGAGATGATTCTGATCATCCTTATTAAGATTATTACTAATCACTTATTTCAGATTGGTGCGCTAGCTGCTTCCATCAGCCATGGGCTTATTTACTATCTACTACCCCCTTGGACAATTAAAGTTTAAGGTAGACACCTTCCACAGTTAGGTAATACAAGGACTTTTGGCCACATATTCTGTTGTAGGTAGGCTTACCCTACCCTGCTATTAGTTAGCACCTGCCTGCTAAGATCTTTAATAAGCTCACCTATATAACTATTATACAACTAGTACCTAGATAGAAATCTAAGCATCTTATTTAGGGATATTCTATGTAAGGCCTCCTAATAGTATAGTGAAGATATCCATCTTGCCTACGCGAGGGTATCTCTTAGTCAGCCCTTACTAAGCAGCAGGTTAGGTAAATTCCCCCTTGCAGAGGAAGAATCCTAACCTAGTATTAATCTACTTAATTATATGAATTCTTAAAACCTAAGCTATACAGTATCTATTCTTTTATACTAGTCATATTCTATATATAAGATCTAGCATTCTTATAATTTTGATGCTCTACTAATTATAACTAGTCTATTAGAAAAGATAATAGCTAGTAGAGTAGGCTTATAAGCCCCTAAAGGATCATAGGACTAAAAGGACACCTCCTATAAAGTAGAAATTAATAAACCTATAAAGAATCCTTAGGAGCATAGATAGTGTATAAATCACTCAGAAGAAGAAAATTAAGTTTATAATAATATATCTAGAGTATACTCTTACAGACCTATAAAAGTTAGGTATATATAAACTCTATAAAGACTATAAATAGGAAGGGTTCTATAAGTTCCTAAAATAATAGCTTAGTAACTTAAGGAACCTTCTTTATAAGATATAGAATTAGATAATCTATATAGAGCCTAAGGAAGAAGAAATAGACTTTTAATATCTATAATAGTAGGAGTAGTAGAGATTAGAGCTTATAGAAAAGATAAAGGACCTTAAGAAGGTATAGCTATATATATTCTTTAAGTTATATCTATAAGATATTAAGTAATATATCTATAAGCAGGCTAAATTTCCTACCTCTTATTATAAGTTAGTAATATTACTAATTAAATTAAGACTAAGCTTAAAGACCTACTCTTTATAAAGTAATAATATAAGTATAATACTTATAGACTTAGGGGGTAAGAGGCCCCTATTCTTATAGTTATTCTTAGAGTATATAAATAATTATAGAAAGAAAAGAGAATAGTCTAAGAAAGAGAAAGAGAGAAAGTCTTATATAGACTACTTAGATATAAGCTATTTTAATTATAATAAGAAAGATTATATTTAGTAAGACTACTAAGCTCTAAAGGCCCCTATAGAAGGACCTAAGAAGAAGTAATAAGATAAGGATCCTATAAGTATAAGTATAGCTACTATAGGAGTAATATCTTTTTAATAAGAATAAGTTATTATATAATATATCTACTTATTTATAAAGATTACCCTTCCTAATTAGACTACCCTTAACTATAGGGCTCTAATAAATAGTAAAAATAAAGTTAATCTAGTATTATTTACTCTAGTAAAATAGATAGGTTAGAATAAGCTTTCCTATTAGATATTCTTATAGACAGTAAATAAGGAGGGGCTTTATAATAAGAGTATTATAGAGGTCTAGATTTAACTATAGGATACTAGTAGAAAATAGGAGGAATTTCAGATCCTTATAGTGGTATCCCTAGATATTAAAGATATCTATTTAGGGATACTATAGCTGATATAGTATGCCCTATAGATAGAATAGGATAAGTATGTAGTCTACTTCTATAGAGGGGCTATCTAGATATATATAATTAAAGTATAAGAGATATTATTATTAGAGATATCTATATAGTATTTCTAATTTATAAGTATCTTCTTAGAGGAGGATGCTATAAGCATACTAGAATACTATAAAGATATAAACTTAAAGATTAAATTAAAGGAAGAGAAGGAACCCCTATTTAGGCCTCTTTATAGTTATTTCTTATATAAAGCTATAGTAATTAGGGAGTATATCTAAACTATACTTATAAAGAATTAAATCTAAGAATCTAAGTTCTCTATAGGAGTACCTCTACTATATATACCTAAGAAGAATAGGAGTATCTAGATATATATAGACTTTTATAGACTTAATAAGATTACTATTAAGAATTAATACCTACTCTTACTTATTAAAGAAATAATTATAAGACTAAATAGAGTATAAATCTTTATTTAGCTTAACCTCTATAATGGGGTTAGGGTTAGGGTTTGGGTTAGGGTTTGGGTTAGGGTTTAGGGTTAGGGTTAGGGTTAGGGTTAGGGTTAGGGTTAGGGTTAGGGTTAGGGTTAGGGTTTGGGTTTAGGGTTAGGG